TTCCGTGCGCTCTCTTCATGCCAGCCCCTTTCCATGCTCGCTCTCCCACCCATACCACCCCCAGGGACCTCGGCTGAAACCTCTTTCAGGCGCGCCTCTCTACAGTCGCGCAACATGCATCGGCCCACCAGCCTTCCATGTTCTCCCACCCACACCACCCCCAGGGACCTCGGTGACAACCTCTTTCACATGCCATCCCTCCTTGCACCCCCCGTCACATCCCCTCCCACCCACACCACCCCCAGGGACCTCGGTGACAACCTCTTTCACAGGCCATCCCTCCTTGCACCCCCCGTCACATCCCCTCCCACCCACACCACCCCCAGGGACCTCGGTTACAACCTCTTTCTGGCATGCCTTTCCACGTTCATCTCTCCCCTCACTCTGCCCACTCGCTTCTCATGTCTTCCATCCTCTCCCCTCTTCCATCCTCTCCCCTCATCCATCCTCTCCCCTCTTCCATCCTCTCCCCTCTCCCACCCCCAGGGACCTGGGTTACAACCTCTTTCAAGCGCGCCTCTCCACATTCGTCTCGTCCCTCACTGCCTTGTCGTCCCTCAAAGACCTGTGGGTGTTCTGCTCATACCAGGGCAGAAAATCTCTGCTCTGTGTGTGTGTGTGTGTATGTCTAAACAGTGACACAGTCGCCCTCACATTTGCCTTTTTTTCGCGACTCAAAAGTCACATTAGCCTCTCTCCTCACTGCCCTGTAGTCCCACAACTCAGGGACCTTTAAGTCGACTCAAAAGTCAGGAACTCAAATGTATGACCTGTGAGTCTTAGTGAGTGACCACGTTACAATTGTATTCTCTGCATTTCTCCTCCCCCTTGTACTCGTTACAGGTTCCTTCACTATAACTGGTTCGTCGGCTCTATCCCATCGTCACTCTTCGCCCTACCATCACTCACAGGCCTGTAAGTGAGGCTGTGTCTTACCCCATGACGTGTCTTACCCCATGACATGTCTTACCCCATGACATGTCTTACCCCATGACATGTCTTACCCCATGACGTGTCTTACCCCATGACGTGTCTTACCCCATGACATGTCTTACCCCATGACATGTCTTACCCCATGACATGTCTTACCCCATGACGTGTCTTACCCCATGACGTATCTTACCCCATGACGTGTCTTACCCCATGATATGTCTTACCCCATGACATGTCTTACCCCATGACGTGTCTTACCCCATGACGTGTCTTACCCCATGACGTGTCTTACCCCATGACGTGTCTTAGCGGAGAGCAGCTAAGATGGCGCTCAACCGAATCTGAAATCGTGTTCTAGTTTTTTTTTTTCCCTTTTTTCCCTTCTTGTTTTCCCTCCCCGCCCCAGAGGCCTCTTCTCCAACTATCTCACAGGCGCCATCCCTCCCATCCCCTCATCGCTCGTGGGATGAGCAAGCAGCAGAAGCATAGAGAAAACCTGTAGCAAGGGATCTATTCGTGTCTTTTCTCCCTTTTGCGCTCCCCTTTCCCTCCTCACCCCAGAGGCCTCTTCTCCAACTATCTCACGGGCACCATCCCTCCCATCCCCTCATCCCTCGTGGGCCTAGACGTTGCCAACAACTTCCTCTCAGGCTCCCTCCCTCCACACTCCCTCGAATTCTGCGCCGCCGAAAACAACTGCTTCTCTCCTCCCCCCCCTCCTCCTCCTCCTCGTGCAATTTCTACGGAACGAAGCAGAGGGCTGCAGCGGAGTGTGCAGTGTGTGGGATGGGTGATGCTGCAGCAGAGAGCGTGTGCTGGGATGGTGTGTGCACAGCAGACGCCGCAGCTGCTGCCTCTCAGGGCATTCCCAATGGGCCCACGCGCCCCATCCTGGCCATGTCTTGCGTTGGTGGGTAAATTGTAGGCTTTTCAGGAATGGGGGGTGTGTGTTTGGATGGTGTGTGCGCAGCGTGTGTGCAGCGTGTGTGCAGCGTGTGTGCAGCGTGTATGAAGCGTGTGTGCAGCGTGTGTGCAGCGTGTCTCACCATGCGCCAGCTCTTCCCATTACCTTGCTGGTGCACGTTCAAAGCAACCATTCACAAAGCTATGAGCTCTCCTCTCTCTCCTTATCATGTGTCTCCCGTCCCGCTCCTGCTGTCTCCCTGTGCAAACGGCTCCTCATCATGCTTCCCTTCTCTTCCCTTCTCTTCCCTTCTCTTCCCTTCTCTTCCCTTCTCTTCCCTTCTCTTCCCTTCTCTTCCCTTCTCTTCCCTTCTCTTCCCTTCTCTTTCTCTTTCCCTTCTCTTCCCTTCTCTTCCCTTCGCTTCCCTTCTCTACCCTTCTCTTCCCTTCTCTACCCTTCTCTTCCCTTCTCTACCCTTCTCTTCCCTTGCATGTGTGCCTCTGCTGGTTCCCATCAGGCTCATCAGTCGTTACCATCCGCTCCTCCTCCTGTGAGTGTCCCTCTTCCCCACTACCCCTCCCGACTGTCCCGCTAGTCTGTCCCGCTAGACTGTCCCGCTAGTCTGTCCCGCTAGACTGTCCCGCTAGACTGTCCCGCTAGTCTGTCCCGCTAGTCTGCCCCTCCTCATGCATGTGCCATGGGTGCCTCTTCTTCTTCTGTCTGTCAGGCCATCTGTCGTTGCCGTCCCTTCCTCTCCTCCTCCTCCTCCTCCTCCTCCTCCTCCTCCTCCTCCTCCTCCTCCTCCTCCTCCTCCTCCTCCTCCTCCTCCTCCTCCTCCTCCTCCTCCTCTTCTTCCTCCTCCTCCTCCTCCTCCTCCTCCTCCTCCTCCTCCTCCTCCTCCTCCTCCTCCTCCTCCTCCTCCTCCTCCTCCTCCTCCTCCTCCTCCTCCTCCACCTCCCCCTCCCTCGGACTGACCCACACAACATGGCTCACAGGCGTGCCCTGTGCCATTATCGCTCTTCCCTACCGGTGCAACTTTTGAGAATTCTCAAAAGTCGCTCCAATATAGCTGTGCCATTATCGCTCTTCCCTACCCATCTCCCCTCTCCCTTCCGTCTTCCTCCCTTCTATCTCCCACCCATCGACATCCCACCAACCCCATCAGCATCTGCCCTCCTTGCTCTCAAGTCATCCCTCGGGGTGACCCACACAACATGGCTCTCAACCGTGCCCTGTGCCATAGACGGCAGTACCCTGTGGCCCGGCCAGACGTGGACGGGCGTGCGCTGTGACGCCGCGGGGAATGTGATGTACTTGTAAGCGTGCCCACTACTTGGGTCGTGTTACCTATTGTAAGCATGCCCTCTACCTGAATCTGTGATGCCACGGGAATCTGTAAGCGTGCCACGGGGAAGGTGACGTACCTGTATGTGAGAAATTGTAAGAACAACCGATAGTTTCATTAGGAAGGGCATGGGTTTACATAGTTGAGCTAGGATGTAGGAGCCATGCCAACATTATTGGCCCCCACCAATAAGTTGGGTTGAGGAGTTATTGGGGGGACCAATAATGTTGACCAAAAGTGGGTCAACATTATTGGGGGGGCCAATAATCTCCCAACCCAACCTTGGGGGCCCAATAATTGGGCCAAGGTTGGGTTCCAACCTCAAACTAGGGTAAACCCTAGTTGTGCACCCAAACTAAGTTTGGGTGCCTATCTCTAGTCAAAGCGTATATGATGATGCAGGTTACAATGAAGATGGTAATCTGACACAACCCCTTAACCTGCAGAAATCCATAGGCTTTGGAAGAGAGAACGCAACAACCCCTGAATCAGCCACCGCGGGGAGCAAGTCCCTGAAGGCGCAGGAGCGCAGAGTGGTTAGAGCGATGGAGAGCCTTGGTGAAGAGGTCAGCGAGGTTGGCGGACGAGTCGATTTTACGAACAGTGATGTGACCATCTTGCACAAGATCGCGGACAAAGTAGTAGCGGAGTTCGATGTGTTTGGAGCGACCATGAAAGACGGCCTCCTTGGTGAGGTGGATGGTACTATCGTTGTCACACCACAGGGTGGGGCAGGGCTGTGGTGAGCCAAGGTCGGTGAGAAGATAGCTAAGCCAGCGTGCCTCTTGAGCCGCCATGGTGACTGCGTACAGCTCGGCTTCGCAGGAGGAGAGGGCGACGGAGGAGGAGCGAGTGGAGCGCCAGCTGATGAGGCCGCTCCCAAGGGAGAAGCCATATCCTTGAGAACTGCGATGGTCCGGCTGTGCATCCGCCCAAGATGAGTCACTGAAGCCTTGAAGAACAGGTGGGTCCACACCACCAAGCGTGAGGCCATAGTCCTTTGTGCCTTGGAGGTAGCGCAGAACACGCATGGCCGCCTTCCAGTGCTCCTCACCATGCCTGCCAGTGCCAACAAATCGCGCCAGGATACTGACGGGGTATGCAAGGTCGGGACGAGTGCAGACCATGGCGTACATCAGGGCCCCAACGAGTTCTGCATAGGGATGAGGGGAGGTGCCAGGAGTGGCTGGAGGGGACAGCCGATGCCCGAATGCAAGTGGTGTGGGGATGGGTTTGGATTTGGACATGCCGAATCTCTCGAGCACCTTCCCGATGTAGAATGACTGAGAGAGGGTGATAGTCTTGGCAGTGAGGTCGCGGGTGATCTCCATGCCAAGGTAGTTGCGGACTTCCCCCAGATCTTTGCAGGCGAGACGTTGCTGCAGCTCATCCTTGACCTCCTGAAGTTCAGCAGCTGTCTCAGCTGCTAGCAGCATGTCGTCGACGTAGACGAGGATGAAGAAGGGTGACGGAGTTAAGCGAAGGAAGAGGCAAGAGGCAGCACGGGAGGGGCGAAAGCCAAGTGCGCGAAGGGTGGATGAGAGTTTGGCGTGCCATTCTCGAGGTGCTTGTTTGAGCCCGTAAACAGGGCGTAGTAGTTTCCAGACGGTGGCAGGGTCGTGAGGAGCGTGGAAGCCCTTGGGACGTTCCAAGAAGATGAGTTCGTGGAGGTCGCCTTGTAAGAAGGCCGTGGTGACATCCATGGAGTGGAGGAGCATCCCGCGTCTGCCAACGAAGTCCAGAAACACGCGAATGACCGGCGGAGTGGCGGTAGGTGAGTAGGTCTCGAAGAAGTCCGAGCCATAAGTCTGTGTAAAGCCTTTCGCCACATACCGAGCCTTGTAGACAGGAGCTTCACCAGGGAGTAGTTTTACTCGGAAGAGCCACCTGCCTTTGACCACGTTGTGCTTGGAGGGGCGAGGGACGTCGAGGAAAGAGCGGTTGTGGATGAAGGCGTTGCATTCCTTGACCATGGCCTCGATCCAGAGAGGTGCGTCAAGACATGCAATTGCTTGCTCGTAGGTGGTGGGTTCGTAGATGGTGGGGGTGTTGGAGAAAAGAAGGACCGTAGTACCAGCCATGGTGCGGACGACAGGGGCGATGGTGGGTGAGAGGAGGTGGAGGAAAAGGAGTTCATCATGAGAGTCTTCATAGAGGTCCGGAGAGAGAGGAGGAGGAAGAGGAGGCGGTGAAGATGCAAGACAGCTGCGCTGGAGGGTCAGGCTGGAGCGGGAACACGGCTGCACTGCTGCTCTGCTGCGCCGAGGGTCGGGGCGAGGAGACAGCTGCAATGCTGCTCTGCTGCGCTGAGTTGCCGTGAGGGGCAGGGAGACGGGAGCGCGGCTGGTGTGAGAACCTGAGGGGCTGGTGCGGGGGAGTGGGGAAGTGCTAGAGTGGTGGAGGAGTGGAATGGATGTGAGAGACCGGAGGGAGAGGTGATTGGACCGTGGGGGACCAAGGATGGGGACTGTGGAGCGGGTGTGAGGGTAGTGACGAAGGAGCAGAGGAGGGGACGAAAGTAAGGGCCGAGATGGTGGAGGGGAAGGGGGCGGAGGAGGAGATGGGGAGGGTGGAGGTTGGGAGAGGGGAGGGGGTGGGGGAGAGTTCAGGGGGGGAGGGGATGGAGAGGGAGGGGGAGGGGGTGGGGAGGGAGGGGGGGGGTCAGCGGGGAGAGGGGGAGGGTCAGTGGGGGGAGAGGGAGTTACAGCGGAAGGGGAGGGTGGGGCAGCCGGGTCAAGGATGTCCCCTGAGGAGGTTGGGAGAGAGGGGGGAGGGGGTGGGGGTGCGGGTATGACCAGGGTGGGGGGAGGTTGAAGGGGAGGGGTGATGACAGTGTCAGTCCAGAGGAGAGGACGTATGGTGAGGGGGAGGGGGTTAGGGGCGGAGGGGGAGGTGTAGTACGGATTGGCTTCATCAAAAACCACATCCCGACTACGAATGAGACGACCTGAGGGGGGGTGGAGGAAGAGGTAGTCCGGGGAGGTGGGGTTATGACCAATGAAGATGCAAGGGAGGGTGCGGGAGGCAAGTTTCCCAGCTGCACGTGAACGGTCCTCAGGGTGTATGAGAACATACGCCTTGGAGCCCCACACGCGCAGGGGGGAGATGTCGGGTTTAGTGGAGGTCCAGAGTTCGGTGGGAGTAGTGGTGGGCCGTGAGGGATGGGGGTAGAGATTAGTGAGGATGGCGGCGTGGAGGATAGCATAACCCCACAGAGAAGGCGGGCAGGAGGCATGGACCATGAGGCATCGAGCGGTCTTGGTGACCTCCCGAACCCTGCTCTCCGCCACACCATTTTGCTGAGGGGAATGAGGAAGGGTGTAGGTGTGGATAATGCCATGGGTGGAGCAGTAGGAGGAAAGCATCCGGTTAAGGAACTCACCGCCGCCATCGGAATGGAAGCGAGAGACAGGGCGTTTGAAATGGGTGCGTGCTTGTTCAGCCCAGGCAATAATGGCAGCCGGGGCCTCCGCCTTCTTGCGAAGGAGAGAGACAGTGGAGTACCGACTGTGGTCATCTACCAGTATGAGCAGGTAGCGATGACCTTGCCTGGTGGGGGTGGGATTGGGGCCCCAGAGGTCCATGTGGACGAGATCAATGGGTTGGGGAGAGAAGGAGGGATGACTCTTGTGGGGGGCTTGCTTTAGTTTGCTTTCAACGCAGACTGAGCAGGGAGGGGAGGGCGACGGGGGGAGAGGGGGGAGGGTGAGGGGAAGTCCTTCAAGAAGTTGAGAGAGACAGATTGACGAAGGGTGGCAAAGTTGGGATGACCCAAGCGATGGTGAAGGAGGACGGCGGGATGGGTAAGGTCACGACAGTGACAGGAGGGGGAGGAGGGAGGGGAGGGGGAGGAGGGAGGGGAGGGGGAGGAGGGAGGGGGAGGGGAGGCAAGAGGAGGGGGGGAGGGAGGGGAGGGAAGGGGGGAAGAAGGGGAGGGGAGGAGGGGGGGGAGAGGGGAGGGGGGAAGGGAGTGAGGGGGAAGTAAGGTGGGAGTGGTGAGTTGGTGGATGGAGGGGCGAGGGGTGCGGTATGTGTACAGGTTTGTGTGTGGGCAGAGGGGAATACGACAGATGAAGCGACCAGTGATGGTGTGAAAGAGGTCGCAGTGAAGTGCATGTCCGGGGAAGATGGCGGTGACACCTAACCTTGGGAGGTCACGAAGTGCTACCAGATTGTTGCGTAGGGAGGGGACGTGTAGACCTGTGACTGTGCCTGAGGGGAAGATGGGGCAGGGGAGAGTGGAGGTGTGTCGACTTGTGATGGTGAAGCTGAAGTCGGCTCCGTAAATGGTGGAGGGAGTGGGGAGGGGGACTAGTGTGCCTGCGTCCCGAAGGACAGTGTGTGTAGCGCCGCTGTCAAGAATGAACTCAAGGAGTGTAGAGGAGGAGGAAGAAGCGGAATACTGGAAGGATGTCTCATTAATAGCATGGGCATACATTGAAGGAGCAGGAGAAGCAGTGCTAACATGTCCTATGAATCCAGCAGAAGGGAACGGAGTGAAGCCAGGAGGATTGGAGGAGGAGGAGGGCTGGTCAGTAGGAGTGGTAGCAGGTGGAGGAAGCACAGGGCCGTATTGAGGAGGTGGATAAGGAGGGTATGGCCAGCCGGTATAGGGCGGAGGATAGTGGGGGGGAGGGGCTTGAGGAGGAGGTGTGGGTGAAGGGGGAATGGGAGGGGTGGGAGGGGTGGGAGTGGGAGGAGATGAAGGGAGAAGATGTTGAACTTGCTGGAGGATATGAGGTGGGAGATGCTCAGTGAGGACATTGTGAAGATTAGGGGTGGAGGGTTGATAGGCGGGGAGAGTGCGTATGTCATGGAGAGAGGGGCGCGGGAAGATGGTGTTCCATCGAGGTGGGGTGCCGACATTGCCACGTGCAAACCACTCATCAGTGAGGGCTTTGAAGCACGTGTCAGTGGTGTGAGTGGTTTGAGCGCAAGGCTGACCTTTGTTGGAGCCATAGCGAATGATGTACTGACACGGGGGAAGGGTACCCGAGGGAGAGGGGTTTTTGCCACGCCCACCACGGCCGCCACCACGACCACCACCGCGTCCACCGCCTCGCCCACCACCTCGTCCACCACCGCCACCGCCAGTACCGCTTGAGCCGCTACCTCCGCCGCTGCTGTGGTTGCCTGAGGGAGTTTTGCGAGCCTGGATAGCATTGATGGTGGTGGAGTCACGTTGGATGTCCGCTTCGCTGTCAAGGAGCCAGTCGATTGTGTCAGCCACAGGAGGAGGATGGCGGTACCTAGAGGTAAAGGTGATGCGGTAGGTATCGTATGTGGGTGGAAGGCAGTCGAGGATGCGTGCAGTGAGAAGTGATTCATGAATGACAATGCCGCGGTCGTTGAGACGTTGCGCAGTGTCGATGAGGCGCCGAGTGAAGGCAGCAGCAGTGGGGGATGAGTCAAGAGTGGTGTCTTGAAATTTGCGAAAGAGAGCAAGGAGAGAGCGAAGGTCCTGTCGGTCGTACTGAGTGGACAGGGTTTTCCAGAGGCCAGAGGAGGAGGTGGGGCGGAGGTCACGTTTGAGATGGGAAGGGATGCAGGAGAAGATAATGGCTAGAGCGCGGCGATCCGCAATTCGCCATGCTGCAGTATCCTTGTTGAACTTGCGAAGTTCATCAGCATAGTCTTTCTCATCCTGTGCGTAGGAGAGGATACGCGCAGTAGCATCAGCGTGAGCCTTCTCAGCAGCACGGTGCGCCTCACGCTGGATGGTGTAGGCATCGCGAAGCTTGTTGTAGTTGTTCAAGTTGGCCGCCCATCGATCTGGGTTGTCATCATGAACTGGGGCACGAGGGGGATCAGACAGAGGCTCTGGGGGAGGAGGGGCATCAGGAGGAGGAGGCTCAAGAGGAGGAGGGGGGACGGGTGGAAGGCCGTTAGGGTGCTCAAGAACTACATCAAGAAGACAGTAGTCTTGAACAATGACAGAGCCAAGGTGGGTGTGAAGTGTGTCCTCAAACGACGCCCAGTTCACGGCCGTAGTGTCATGGAGGAGTTCGAGCTTATCGATAGCTCCGAGTTCAATGGGAGTAGAGTCGTCCGCCATGAGGGGGGAGGAGGGGGGGGGAGAGGGTGACGACACCGGCTGGAGGGCGGGTGCGGTCAAAGACGACACCACCTGGAGGGGTGGCGCGGTCACGTTGCGTGCGGCAGCGCTTCGTCACCCGCGGCTGCCCCTTGTCGCCCGCGGCTGCGTCTCGTCGCCCGCGGCTGCGCCTCGTCGCCTGCAGCTGTGCCTTGACGACACGCGGCTGCTCCTGGACGCGTCCGCAGCGGTCGCCCTCGCTGGTCGCGTCCGCGGCGTCCGCCCGCGCTGGTCGTGTCCGCAGCGTCGCCCTCGCTGGTCGCGTCCGTGACGTCCGCCCGCGCTGGTCGCGTCCGCGGCGTCCGCCCGCGCTGGTCGCGTCCGCGGCGTCCGCCCTCGCTGGTCGCGTCCGCGGCGTCCGCCCTCGCTGGTCGCGTCCGCGGCGTCCGCCCGCGCTGGTCGCGTCCGCGGCGTCCGCCCTCGCTGGTCGCGTCCGCGGCGTCCGCCCTCGCTGGTCGCGTCCGCGGCGTCCGCCCTCGCTGGTCGCGTCCGCGGCGTCCGCCCGCGCTGGTCGCGTCCGCGGCGTCCGCCCTCGCTGGTCGCGTCCGCGGCGTCCGCCCTCGCTGGTCGCGTCCGCGGCGTCCGCCCCCGCTGGTCGCGTCCGCGGCGGTCGCCCGCGCTGGTCGCGTCCGCGGCGTCCGCCCTCGCTGGTCGCGTCCGCGGCGTCCGCCCTCGCTGGTCGCGTCCGCGGCGTCCGCCCGCGCTGGTCGCGTCCGCGGCGTCCGCCCCCGCTGGTCGCGTCCGCGGCGTCCGCCCCCGCTGGTCGCGTCCGCGGCGGTCGCCCGCGCTGGTCGCGTCCGCGGCGTCCGCCCCCGCTGGTCGCGTCCGCGGCGGTCGCCCGTTCTCGTCGCGTCCGCGGCCGTCGTTCGTCGCGGGTGTGGCGTCCGCCCGCGATTAGGGTTTCGTCGGTCGCGGCGGTCGCCGATGCTCGTCGCGGGTGTGGCGTCCGCCCGCGATTAGGGTTCCGTCGCTCGTGCTGGCCGTCCCGACGGTCGCGCTGGTCGTTCCGACGGTTGCGCAGATCGTTCCGACGGTTGCGCGGATCGTTCCGACGGTTGGCGTGGCCGTTCCGACGGTTGATGGGTTAGTGGGAGAGAGGGGAGAGCCGCGAGAGGCGGAATTGACTGTAGAAAGGAGGGAGGGGGGCGCTGAAATTTAGCGCAAGGGGAGGGGGGGGGGCGTGATGGCGTAGGGGCGCACTAGGCGCAAAGGGCGACGTAGTGTCGCGTGAGAGAGGGGGGCGTGATATAGCACGCGGTATGTGCGGTCCTTAGGATCGAGATGGTGTGAGCCGTAGTTGCTCTGAATACCATGTGAGAAAGTGTAAGAACAACCGATAGTTTCATTAGGAAGGGCATGGGTTTACATAGTTGAGCTAGGATGTAGGAGCCATGCCAACATTATTGGCCCCCACCAATAAGTTGGGTTGAGGAGTTATTGGGGGGACCAATAATGTTGACCAAAAGTGGGTCAACATTATTGGGGGGGCCAATAATCTCCCAACCCAACCTTGGGGGCCCAATAATTGGGCCAAGGTTGGGTTCCAACCTCAAACTAGGGTAAACCCTAGTTGTGCACCCAAACTAAGTTTGGGTGCCTATCTCTAGTCAAAGCGTATATGATGATGCAGGTTACAATGAAGATGGTAATCTGACACTGTAAGCATGCCCCCAACTTAGAACCATGTGACCTACCACTCCTCTTGGGCTCCTATCCTCTCCACTCCTCTCCTTTCCTTTCTATTTTAGTGTTTTTCGCTTGCTAAATGAGGCAAGCCTGAAAGCCTCTTACTCTTTTGAATTCGCCCACCCACCCCTCCCCTCCGCCGTGGCAGGGACTTGAGCTATCAGCAGCTGAACGGGTCCCTTCATTCGGACATCAGCAACCTCACCACTCTCACTTACCTGTAAGACCTGTAAGGCTTTGCTTGCTCACTGCTCACTGCTCACTGCTCACTACCCTCTCACAAGTCAACAGTCAGCTATCAGCAGCTGAAAGGGTCCCTCCATTCAGACATCAGCAAACTCACCACTCTCACTCACCTGTAAGGCCCTGCCTGTTGCTCACCATCTCACACACCTGTAAGGTTCTGCCTGTGTCACCTCTGTATGTAAAATTTCTGCAAAATCTTGTGCTAATCTCAAAAGTGACACCAGCTTGAGTTACTAGCAGCTGAAAGGGTCCATCCATTCAGGCATCACCAAGCTTACCACTCTCACTCACCAGTAAGTCTGAAATCATCGCTTTGCTTTCCACTTGCAAGTCTGCCTGCAGGAGTCGTCACGCGGGCATCGTGTGAGGCGCCTGTGAATCTGTGATGAGTCTGTTTTTTAGTCGACTCAAAAACAAAATCTGCCCGCAGGAGTCGTTTTTTGAGACATCTCAAATCATGTGGGCATCGTGTGATGAGTAAGTCTGTTTTTGAGTCACTCATGCAGGCACTCAAAAACAAAATCTGCCTGCAGGAGTCATCACGTGGACGTCGTGTGAGGCGCCTCAAAAGTCAAGTCGTCCAATCACATCTGTGCTATTCTGCCTGCAGGACTCTTGAGGTGCCTCAGAAGTCAGATCGTCTAATCACATCTGTGCTATTATTCCCGCAGGAGCCTCCATGCCAACCTCTTCTGGACGCCACTCAGAAGCATAGTCTCCCCCCTCTCCACCCTCACCAACCTGAAGACGCTGTGAGCCTGCCATGCCATACCATGCCATGCCATGTCATTCAAAATCTGCATATTCAACGTTATCAGCATTTCTATCTATAGATACGCAAGGTAGGGAATCTCACCTTCCCCCTTCACCAACCGCAACATGCTGTAAGTGCCAGCATTGACCACCACGCCTTGAAGTGCTCCAGATGGTTTGATTCTGCGCCACAGATTCTTATCGACCAGCTGTGACTCGCATTGACCTGCATTGACTCATGTTGACCAGCATTGACTTGCGTTGACCAGCATTGACATACATGTTCGCATACACTGTATTGTCCGTCCCGCTCCAGTCAGCTACAGTACAACTGGCTCTACGGCTCCATCCCATCAGTCCTTCTGGCACTGCCTCGCCTCACAAGGCTGTGAGTCTCCTCGCCTTGCTATGTGCCTCGTCGTTATGTGCCTCATCGCTATGTACCTCATTGCCATGTATAACAATCCCATGTGCCTCACCATGCGCACCACATGGCTTTGATGCTTTTGCACATATGCCATGTTCACTTCGGTGCACTGTATCTAATTCCTTAACATTGCTACGGTTCAGCACGGCAATTCCTAATTTGTGTATCTTGCGGCATTGTTTGTCACTCCCTTTGCCTTGTAGAAATCTGAACTTCAACTGTCTGACTGGTACTCTTCCAGCCATCTCCACTTCTTTGGCTTACCTGTCCTTCGAGCAAAGTTATATCTACGGATCGTTTCCCTCCAATAAACTCACATATTGCAGTGCACTGTATAATTGTTTCACGCAAGCCAACAACTGCACATCAGCAGGCCCTTTTCAAAGAGACACGTCGTCATGTGCAATATGTGGTTTGGCGGATGGTTCGGGAACGCTATGTTCGGGAACCGGGGTATGCAAGCCGAATGCTGTCGTTCCTGCAGCTGCTGGATTTGTTTATGGGCCTGACTCTGATTTGCTGGATATGTATTGCGATGTATCGTGATTGTTGACCAATGCTTCACGTAACTTACTACATGAAGATGGGTGATGAAGGAATACTATGGAGAGCGTTACGACGGCGAGAGAGTTTCTGCTTGTGAGAATGGTGTTGCGCGAGGAATTCGGTAGCGTTTCGGTAGAGCTTGTCTCAAATGGCTAAGTGAGAACTTGAGTAGAGATTGTAATATTATTATGAATACAAAAGCAAACACACAAGATAGATATAGGCTACGGGGAAGTTGCACAAAGTTGCCGTGGCGCTGCGCAGTAACCCAACCCCACGAAACTGTCGTGTGGATGGGTGAACCGCGCCTCGGCCAATCCCAACCTGACTCAGCAGCGGGATGTTCCTTCTTACACGCCACCCCAACCAACCAACTCCAACTCGGCAACACCACCAATGACTCCCACAGACTTGTACTGCCCTGCACAAACTCCAACGACAAGTTCAGCAGTCACGCTTTGTCAATACGCGACCATCACCAATATTCCCATGTCGGTGGCGAAGGGCGTCAGTCTAGGTCGTCAATCTAGCAATCTGCCAAGTCGTCGAGGGCCCTTGCTGTCGTAGGGCCCTCTAACAGGTGAATGAAACACTGCAATTACTAACTTCATGTGCGTCTATGAGTAGAGCAAACGCGAGAACTTGGGGAGAAATTTGTCATCGGGCCCGATTGAAGTAATCTACTTCAGATATACACTCCTTGCAAGTGTGCAGAAGTGTTAAAACCGAAATGCAAAATAGTGAACCCGGGGCCAGCTTGAAAGAGGCCTTGCCATGCGAAACAATTTTCGAACCAAACCGACAAGTTTCGAGTGTTTCATTGACAGCGTTTTTAGCAGATCGAACACATCTGATTGGTTCCCGCCAAAACCGAAAGAAGGAACACTGCACGTCAGGCGTCGCATATCAGTTTGGGAAGCCGCACAACGTTAGCACATCGATCGCTTATGAACGTCCTTGCGATTTGGTCCCAGCTTGGGGTTCAAGTTGGGCCTGGGTGAACAACTACTAGTTCTTTCGATCATACATCTCTGCTTCTTAGTTATTTGTAGCATGCCTAGCCATAGAATCGTCAAATTAGGCCATGGTTGTTTAGGTTTAGACGCGTAGTGAAGCTGGCACGGTTGTATAATACATTGTGCAGTTTCGAGTGCCCTCCTGTCGTCATCTCCATTAACCCTCTCCTCCAAACGCCCTCGAGTTTTTCCCGTCGCTCTCTCTCTCTCGCCGCTACCTTTCCTGAACCAATCAACTTCTCCTCTCCCTTCTCGTCGCTCTCTCTCTCTCTCTCTCTCTCCCTTCCAGTCGCTCTCGGGCTCTCCCATCCCTTCCCGTCGCTCTCGCTCTCCCCAGTCCCTTCCCGTCGCTCTTGCTCTCTCCCCTCCCTTCCCGTCGCTCTATCTCTCGCCGCTCCCTTCCAGTCCCTCTCGGTCTCTCCCATCCCATCCCGTCGCTCTCCCTCTCTCCCCTCCCATCCCGTCGCTCTCCCTCTCTCCCCTCCCTTCCCGTCGCTCTCTCTCTTTCGCCACTCCCTTCCCGTCGCGCGCTCTCCAGTCGCCCGTCGTTTCCACCCGGTTCATCACCGATCTCGTCGCCCTCGCTCTTGCTCTGTAATGCCCTCTCCGCACCCTCCTTCCCTCCCTTCACAATTTGTCTTCCCTCCCCGCATCACAGCGTTCTTCCTCTCTCCCCTCCCATCACGTCGTTCCTCCTATCTTCCCTTCCATCCCGCGTTCTTCCTCTCTCCCCTCCCATCACGTCGTTCCTCCTATCTTCCCTTCCATCCCGCACTCTTCCTCTCTCCCTTCCCATCCCGTCGTTCCCCCTCTCTCCCCTCCTCTCCCGTCGCCCCCCAGGTCACCAGTCCCTTCTCTTCGCCTTCGCTGCCAATCAACCGTCCCGACGCCCTTCCTCTTTTCGTACATCATTCCTTTCTTTATTTTAGCTGCTGCGCCCGATTTCACCTGTGTGTGCCATGGATTTTGCTTGATCATGCCTGTGTTCGCGCAGGATTTTGCATGTTTTTGCCTGTGTGCGCGCTGGATTTTGATGTGTGTGCGCTGGTTTTTGCACATGGAAATTCTATTCAAGTTACGCTGGCTGCTCTGGTGCATGTGGGATGGGATTGCAGCCTTGCGCCAAATTCGCACGCGAACGTGGGTGAAAGTCGCCACCAATCAGATTTGTAAACAAGCTCCACACTTTTCCCGTTCACAAAAAAAAAAAAAAAAAAAAAAAAAAAAAAAAAAAAAAAAAAAAAAAAAAACTGGGATGTAAAAAAATAAAAACGCACAGCACGTCAACTTTTCAAACGTTAGTAACAAACTTGTGTTTTCAAGTGGACCCAACTAGAAGGGGGGGGGTCACTATTTTAGCTGCTGGCTTTAAGTAGTAGATGGAGGAACCCATACCATACCAGTATGGAAGTGACTGCCGTTTTGGAATAGCAACCCCTTTATCCTGAATATAGCTGGGCTCCACGAATCAGGCTACTATTGACTTGAGATTTAGAACGGTTGATTAGGGTGCTAGGGGGAAAATCTGCTCAGGAAGGCCATCTCAGTCACAATCCAGCATCATTCCTGCGCGAGTCAACATGACGAGACGACACAGAGGGGGGTCGTTCGTGCCGCATGTGTGAGATGACCTTTCTCCCACCTTTTCTGCGCGCAAAAAACGTTCGTGGAACCACGTGTCAATCGCTTCCGAATTGGTCATTGCATCTGGGGCCATTTTCAGGTGCAATCTCTACAATTGGGGAAATGTGTTCAGGTGTGATTCCGGCGCATCTTTCCAAGTCTCTGTTGCGTACTGTACACGCGGGCCGGAACAGAGCCTTGAAAAGATACGCCACTCAAATCTGTACTGGCTGAGGGAAATTGATGGGAAATCAATGCGCCACACACGATTTGTTTACCGAGGCTACCAGGAATTGCTAAGACATACCCTGAAATTATAAAACTTAAACGCTTTAGTGACCCTGGACGCATTTTTGGGAGATCAACCCTAAACACGTGAACCCCCTGGTTTTAAGGGTTGATGCCTCCGTAAGGTTTTCGTGACAAAAAAAATAAAACCCAATCGGGACGCAATCGAATCGGGAGGCATCAACCCTAAACACCAGATAGGTTCCGGTGTTTAGGGTTGATCCCTCCCGAAACTGCTTCGAGGTTCTCTAGGGGTTTTATTTTGTTTTTTTCGGGTGGCCTTAACAGCTTCGGGTAGTTTGGCCTGGCCATGCTGTATGTTTGACTTCCGTCAGGATGTGTCAGAGACAATCCGTCAGCTGAACAAGATGTGCGTGGCGAGTCTGCATAAGGTACTGTTGAGGCACGTGTGTACAGTGCCGCAACAGTGCCGTAACAGATTGGGATCGCACCTGAACACATATTCTGTACTATAGAGATTGCACCTGAAAATGGCCCTTGCATCTGAAAGCCAATCTGTCCACCTCAGCGTTACGACACGGGGATGACAATATATCAACTTCGGCACGCTCGACCGTACAGGTGGCAATGTCTGACGCGTTAGGCTATAACTAGTGGCAAGCAGCGCACCCAATCTTGTAACGAAGAACATCCAGCTCTTCACCGCTCACCGCAAAAGCAGCATGGTCAAAGGTTTCGTTCACATCGAGATTCCCAACCGCCACTCACGTCACAAGAGCAACCTCTAAGCTATAAATCGACGGCGTTCCTCACGTCGAGAAAATCGAGGCTGACCTGAGTCTTCATCTCAACCGTTCACGACACAGGTTCATCGCGAATGCAGTTTACGGACCCCATTCTTTCATTTGTCAATTCAGCTCCAGTAGCCGTAGTCCATATCACTAGCATTCAGCCTTGTGTATCCAGATCAGCCATTCTCTGCAGTCTCCTGGTTTGGAGTCTGCTCTGATTTCACCAGATCAAGCTGGTAGGGGTCTGAGAAACCATTTCTGTAGCTGGACATTCCGATCTCAAATCCAGCTTGAGTCGTGATCTGGGATTCCCTTGGTTCCTGAAAGTTGGGTTTCTGAGCTTGGAAACGTGACTCCAATCCGTCATGGCTCTTGCAGCTGCTCCGGCTGTTAGGGCTTGCACCCTACCAGCAGATTCCGCTCGGCAAACCACAGCTACTACCAGGTCTGCTGTCAGCACTGCTGCTGCTGCGCCGCTGTCCAGCCGGTTCCTGGGATCGCGAGTTCCCACAAAGGCTGTTAAGGCCGTGCAGGTGAAGCGGAACTGGAAGGCTGGTGCTGCGCGTGCCACTGCTACTGCCGATCCTTCAACATCCACCTATGTCGTGCCGGTTAGTAATCATTGAAGAAGCAAAATATCCATATAAAGCCATTGTTGAACAGTACCTTTCAAAAGCCCTGCGATGACGCTCTTCTGGTTTTAAGAAGATTTCAATCCTTCGAGGAGAGATTTTTTCATTGAATCCTGAACCGGCAGTGAAGAGCTTTTGAGCACATTTTCACTGTTTAGTGACTCGCGAATTCTCCTCTGCGTCATGTTCTGGCAATGCCGTTTCTTGTAACATTCGTTTCATCTAGGTGTATCCGCACTGCCCCTCTGTGTCCTCGCCATTATTTTGACCAGGATCTATCGCGCGATGAGGCGCTGATGCTGTACGAAGACATGGTGCTGGGACGCACTTTCGAGGACATGTGCGCTCAGATGTATTACCGCGGAAAGATGTTCGGCTTCGTTCACCTGTACAACGGTCAAGAGGCCGTCTCTTCCGGTATCATCAAATACCTGCGACAGGACGACTACGTTACCAGGTAACATGCGTCGCACTTGCACCTGCCGTGCCATCTATTTTGTCGCTTCTATTGCGTGGCTTCTATTGTGTGGTGACATTCTTGTTATCCTCCCAAACCTTCTCCGGATCGTTCTTATTCGAATGAACGTTTCCCTCTAACTCTCCCCCTTTCCCCTCGCCCCTTTTCCCGACCCTTTATCGCAACAACTCCTCCGTTTTCTACGATCCAGCACATACCGCGACCACGTGCACGCGCTGAGCAAGGGCGTGTCGGCGCGCGAGGTGATGGCGGAGCTGTACGGCAAGACAACGGGGTGCTGTCGCGGGCAGGGCGGGTCCATGCACATGTTCTCCAAGGAGCAGGGCCTGCTCGGCGGCTTCGCCTTCATCGGCGAGGGCATCCCCGTCGCCGTCGGCGCCGCGTTCGCCGTCAAGTACAACAAGGAGGTGCTCAAGCAAGACGCGGACCAGGTCTCAGGTGCGTTCACTCGTCCTGCCGAGAATACTATTGCAAATCAGGACGTGAAGGAAACATCTGGCTGTCGAAAACCAAGTCACTAGGTCGCGCGGTGATGGCACTCTTCGGTTGTGTTCTCACTTTGTTTCATTTGTTATGTTTGTTACTGCCGGCTGCAGTGGCGTTCTTCGGCGATGGCACGTGCAACAACGGCTCCTTCTACGAGTGCCTCAACATGGCGGCGCTCTGGAAGCTTCCGGTGATCTTCGTGGTGGAGAACAACTTGTGGGCCATCGGCATGAGCCACCTGCGCTCCACGTCGGACCCCGCCATTTGGAAGAAGGGCCCCGCGTTCGGCATGCCCGGAGTCCACGTGGACGGCATGGATGTGCTCAAGGTGCGCGAGGTGGCGCTGGAGGCCATTGAGCGCGCGAGGCGGGGGGACGGCCCGACGCTCATCGAGTGCGAGACGTACCGCTTCCGTGGCCACTCCCTGGCCGACCCCGATGAGCTTCGCTCCCCTGGTAAGTAACTCTGTACTAGTGAGTTACCCCCGTGTCAGCGTACTTACCAGTACCTCTCTTTGTTATCCACTCTCCAGCCAGTTGACAAAGCCATCCGCCAAAAGGTTCCCAACAAAATATTCCTCTTCTTCCACCAAAGTCCTTGCTGGAATGCCCACCTTCATGTTCCCTAGCTCCTCTTCCTCACTCTCTGTCTTCCCACCCCTATCCCGCCATTTTTTCCCCCCTCCTTTCGGCCATCCTCAACCCCTCGGTACCTCCCTGGTTCGCGCAGAGGAGAAGGCCAAGTATGCCGCGCGCGACCCTATCATCGCGCTGAAGAAGCACATCCTGGAGGCGGGGCTCGCCACTGAGGCCGACCTCAAGGTAAGACGAACGTCTCACATGGTAGGGCAGGGTTTTTTTTTCGACTCAACTATCGTGCCAAGTAAGCTGCGTGCGACCCCATCATCGCGCTGAAGAAGCACATCCTGGAGACGGGGCTCGCCACCGAGGCCGACCTCAAGGTGAGTTACACGAGCGTATTGCACGGTAAAGCAGGGTGGGGCTGGCTGACACGAGCGTATTGCACCATGGCTGTAAGGACAAGGCGGGGGGATTCCCAATCCGTTTTGTCGCTTTGAGGATTGTGTGTAACTGGATGCACGCTTCTGTTGAGGTGGTGCTTGTTGGTAAAAGAATAGCATGCTTGCAGTTGTGTTGCCTGGCCAGACACTCGGTGTCTTTCATGGCCCCATGTGTCATGCCGGTGAAGATAATGGTCATGCAAGGAGCTGATTAGTGTGACGATGGGTTTTTTGTGGGGGGTTTGAGGGTGGTTGCCACACTCTTAAATGGAATTCATGAGCAGTCTCAGAGTTGAGTGTATGGATGGGTGAATGAGCACCAGCCTAAGGGGATTTCCTTTTCAACCTTCGAGGGCCTACTCCGGGAGCCACTCTCGTTGGACTCTGAGCTTGGGATTGGCTGTTGTTGGTTCTGTCAGTCTGCTGTCAGTGTTCTTCATTCTGTAACTTGTCCATGCACCCATGTGATTTTCTTTCAGGCGATTGAGAAGAAAATTGACGATGTCGTGGAGGATGCTGTAGAGTTTGCTGATGAGAGCCCACTGCCGGAGCGCCACCAGCTGCTGGAGAATGTGTTTGCTGACCCCAGGGGCTTCGGAATTGGAATTGACGGCACCTACAAGTGCGAGAACCCAGACTTCACTGCAGGCACCGCGCAGGTGTAGGCAAGCCAAGGGTGTGCTTGTCTGCTGCAAACCCAAAAAGACACGGTGGTTTGAGTTATTAAACTAGTTGGTAGCAAGGCAAGGATGTGTTAGGTATCATTGTCTGGTTGCCTTCTTTATTGTGTGATAATGGTTACTCGTTTAGCTTTTGCCAAGCATAAAACCTTGTTATGCATATTCAATTCGAGTGTGCATGTTTCTCACTGATGTACTTTCTGTTGACACAGGGCTAGACATGCTGATATGAAGCACATCCATCTCATAAAACACAGTGAACCCTAACAGAGTACCGTAAGTGCTATGGTACTAGTTTACAAACAGTACCCCGCTGTTTTAGCAACACGACTGTGCCGACGTTTTGCCCAGAGTGTCGTGTTTAGAAAATGTGTTAATGTTTTTGCTTATGTCCGAATTGAGCAAGACAACACTCCATAGTAAATTTTGCTGTTTGCTATGAAATAGGACTCCAGAACTTTCGATATTTTTTATTCGGAACAGTATATTTCTGAACGGTCTTTGAGGATTAGCCTTCTAAAATGCTCCTCACTGGAGAAAGTACTGCCATAACGGGTATCTTACCGGAATACCAAACGGCACATTTGCGACCAAACCGCGTCACCCGCGCTCTGTAATTTTCCTCCCGTTTCCGTAATCTGCCTCCCGCCCGCCCTGCACCAAGCCGAGATTCATCTTTCTTGGCTTGCGGTCTCAACTTCATCCTCCTCCTTCTGCCCAGTTCTGCCCCAAGATCATCCAGTTGCGGTTAGTTGCCATGTCTCACGTTGTCACACGGAACAGCCAGGGCGGAGGCGGAGATGTCGCAGGGAAAATAGAGGGGAAACCGGGGAGGAGAACCAACGTTGCTGTACTGTACCAGTCAAAAGAAGCTCCGTAGCAGCTCCGAAATCAACCCTTGAGACGTCTCGAAAGTCGTCTGGAGCGGGCGATTCTAATTGACAGCAGACTGCATTCATCAGAGGACGAAACGCAGCGGTTCCATAATCATCCAGTCAGCCCGCAACCTCTTGATTCCATCCTGAGCCTGTAGCCGCAGCAAAGCGTTCAACAACGAGCAACATGCAGCTCCTGAGCTTGCGCCATGCAGCGCCCCTCACGTTGACCAACCGGCCCTCCATGTGCGGTCCCCGGCGGTGCGGTGCACGTCGGTCCGGTGGACGCCGGTGCTCAGGCTCAACGCCTCACGAAACGTCTCAACCGCTGGATGTATCACGCGATAGCTTGATCGCTCGATCGCGCGATCCTTACGTCGTTCGGTCGCTCAGTGGCTAGATCGCAACCGAAGAGCCTAGCATCGGCAGTAGCAGTTTCCGCCGATGCACTCCTTATCCCCTTCCACGCCCATCGCGAGCCTTTTCTCGTCGCAGCGTGTCGACAAATATTCGCGCGCCCATTCGCGCTCTGTCGCCGTGCGACTGTGTGCGACGAAGCGGGCGATGCGCGCGAGTGAGGAGGTTGCAGAGGTTGACTCCCCGCGCGAGTCGCCCAACCGGGCTGATTCAACCAAACAGCCCGTCGATGGGGCTGGTTCGTCGATGCCAGTACCACTGGGGGGTCGATCCAACCTCCCCTCGCGACCCCTCTCCGAACCGACTCGGACTCGCCTCCAATCCGTCTCGGAAACGCCTCGGAGTCGGGTCGCTAGTCGTTTGATTCAGGCACCCTGCTAGCCAGACTCGACTCACACAGGGCAGCGAGTGGAAACCACGCAAGGTAGGAGCAGGGAGGATTGAAAGCTATAAGAGCAAGCAGCGGAAGCCATTCGAAGTCATCCAGTTTTCTCTCCTCTCGTCTCCCTTCGGCTCGAGGAGCTCTAGCCTTTCAAGTGTAAGCACCCCTGAAGCCTCGCTTTCGCGCATTCGCGCTTTCACGCATTCGCGCATTCGCCTTGGGATTCACCCGCAAGCCTCACACCCTCCCCTCGGCATCGGCAGAAGCAGCTAACAGCACCGCTCCTCCCGCCATGGCGGTCAATCCGCGCCTCGTTTCCCCGCTCCTCCTCGCCTGCGCGCTGCTGCTCGCGTGCGCGCTCCTTGTGCCTTCCGCCTCCGCCGCCCGCCGCGTACTCCAGGATATCGGGGACGACTATGTCGAGCGCGTGGCGGACGAAGATTACGGCACGGACGACGGCGCTTCCTCCGCCGGGGCAGTCGGCCTCGGCGGCGCCGGAACTGGCGGAATGGACCTCCCGCCAGGCTTCCCCGGCGCAGCGGGTGGCGCAGCGGGCGGCGCAAACCCCGACATCACGGTGGGCGCGGGCAACGATCCCGCGACCAGCCCCGGCGACGGGCCAGCGAACATCCTGCCGGCGGATCCCGCCGCCGGGGAGGCGGTAGACGACCTGACCGATCCCGCCACCCCCGCCACTCCCGCCCCGCCCGTCGATTTCCCCGATGCCGGCGCGACGATCAGCGCGCTGTTCGATATGTCGCTGGAGGGGGCCGACATGGAGCTTGCGCGCACGCTCAAGCCGCAGCCGCTCCCCGCGGACACGCCCGCGGAGGTGAAGAAGTTCGCCGCGGGGATGGAGGCGAGCGAGGCGGCGGCGGCGGCGGCGGGCGCGCCTGGGCGCAAGCTCGCGGGCGTGCCGGCGTGGATGCGGCAGACCAACAACACGACGCCCTTCGGGTTCTACCCGTATGACACCCCCCTGTAAGTCGATTCATAAATTTCTTAGTCCACTCAAACTGGCTCTCAAGACAACTGGCTCTCGACACGACACGACGCCCTTCGGGTTCTACCCGTATGACACCCCTCTGTAAGTCGATTTGTTATATTTTTGAGTCCACTAAAATAGCAGCCCAGAGCCCTAACTCAACGCCCTTCGGGTTTTACCCGTATGCTTTTTGACGTCCCCACTCTGCTCCTCTTCCTCCTCTTTTGCTCCTCTCGCGTCATACTTTCTGCTCACCGCCCAACCCGCGTCTCATCGGCCCATTCGCCGTCTCTGCTCGTCGCCCTCAGATTCTCCCCCTCTCCCTCCCCCCATCCCCCCCGCAGGTACCACCCCTTGTTCGGCATGTCTGTGAAGGCCAAGAACGGCACATGGTACACATATGTCAGTCCCAAGAACCAGTGGCGGGGAACGGCTGACTGGGCCACGGGCTTCTGTAAGTTCTCTTTCAGTTCAAGGTTGAAAGGCCAGTGGTACACATGCGTCACCCCTCCTCTCTCTCTCTCTCTCTCTCTCTCTCTCTCTCTCTCTCTCTCTCTCTCTCTCTCTCTCTCTCTCTCTCTCTCTCTCTCTCTCTCTCTCTCTCTCTCCTCTCTCTCTCTTTTTCTCCCTCTCTCTCTCTCTCTCTCTCTCTCTCTCTCTCTCACTCAAGCCCTTTTAAACTCCCCCTCCCCCCCAGGGACCTGCCGTTTCACGGCGCCCCACCCCAGGAAGGGTTTCAACTGCGCGGCGGACCCCACCTGCCCGGGCTGCCCTCGCTGCCGCGGCTGGCGCTGCTTCCGCAACATGCACCTGCCCACCTACGGCTCCCCCAATGCCAACGTGTAAGCAACATGCACCTGCCCACCTACGGCTCCCCCAATGCCAACGTGTAAGCAACATGCACCTGCCCACCTACGGCTCGCCCAATGCCAACGTGTATGCATTCGTGCTGCCATGCACTAGTATCCTCTCCCTCTCCCTCCAATCCTTCTTCTCACTCCTCGCAATCACGCACCCGCTGCCTCTGAACATGCACCTGCCCACCTACGGCTCCCCCAATGCTAACGTGTAAGCAATCAAGCTTTTTTCACCGATGCTTCTCCTCACTCCTCGCAATCACACACCCGGCATGTTGTGAGACGTCTCAAAGCAAAACCCAACACTCCCCCAAACCCCAAACCTCTAACCTCTAACCCACAGGTATGTATCGAGCCTGATGCTGGCTGCTGCGTATCCCAAGGAGTACGGCGTGTGCATGAGAGCCGGCACGCCCAACGCAACGTGCATATTCGACCCGACCACCGGCGTGGGCATTGGCCTCAGGGTCCCTGGCCTTACACCCTCGAAGCCCTAAACCCCTAAGCTATCAAGTGGTAGCTCGGTCGCCATCCCCTCCTAGCATCGCCATGCTGCGGGATTTTTTGAGTCGACTCAAAAAATCTGCAAGCTTGGGGAGTGGTGGCAGTGGCATAGGCGTTGGCATTAGCATCAGGGTTTATGGGTAGGAGGATGGGGTGTTGGATGGATGGGGAGAAGATGTGCTTGGGAGTGTTTGCGCCTAAGCAAGCCTGGTTCTTGCTGCAAGCTGCATGCCTGCGTTGTGCTTCTCTAGTGTCGTGTGCATGGGATGCTAGTAGGCATGTGGGTTGTCTTTTGAAACCTGCTTGTATACCGCTACTTGAATAAAAGGATGATATTTATCATTTATAATTTATCCATGCTGGCATCTCACCCCCTAAGCTCTTACGGTAAATAACTCAAGTTTGACCTTCAGAGATTTCCCTAAAGCAACACCAACAAGCTTGGGAAGTCTAAGAGCGTGTTCCTACACCTCGTATCAGAAACACCTCGTAGTATCAGATTCGCGTGGTGAAATGCGTTTCAGTGTGTTCGACTGCGGTTGGATGCGTTTTAGTGCGGTTCGACGCGAAATTGATACGAGGTTGTCTGATAGCAACACGCTCTAAGTGCCATTCCTAGTCTTTCCAAGTCTGGTGAAACTGTCCATGCGTCCAGCCCACCATTTCACCCCTTCACAGTGTCACCACACTATCATAAATGGTTTGGGTTCACTATATGACACACCAGGGGAAGTGATTGGTGTGATGGAATGAGGACTTACGGTATGCACACTTGCCTGCCTGCCTTCCACAAGGCTTGATCTAGGGGGGAACTTTTTTGAGACCACAGGTGATGCACACACATCTTTTGAGGCGTCTCAAAAAACACTATGAGACTGCACTATAAGAAGTACACTACATGGTTCAGTCGGTACCTACACCGAAGGAAGACGCATGGTACCATAAGCCCCCGGATAGAAGCGCAGGCCTCGGATAAGCGCCGGCGCTTATAAAAGGATGAGGGCGCTTATATCCGGTCCTCGATTATAAGCGCACCCCCTGAGAATTCATTATTTATTATAAGCGCATGTTGATTTTTTTTCTTGAAGAACTGTCGAATTACGCCTTAGCAGGGAACGAAGCACAATTCCAGTTTCCCACTCAAAATCTCACTTGCTGCGCGTCTAGTCAGCATGTCCTGTCACTTAGTCAGCATGTGTTGGCAGGGAATCAATCCCTGCCAAGCTGCGGGAGATTCGGATTCGTGACCCCATATAGTTTCGACTCGATGAAAATGGGCAGAACGAGATCTACAGTTTGGTGTAAAATATACTTAATTTCATTTTTGCCATTGTATAAACGCCTGCGCTTATAAAAATCCTCGATTATAAGCCCACCCCCTAAAAAACAGTGTTTTTTTATACCCCCAGGGGCGCTTCTATCCGGGGGCTAATGGTACCATGTAGTTACCTAATCTAGATACGGTAGAAGTAGACACACACGTGTAAGCCCAACCCACATGTACGCAGCCCAGGAAGAGGAATAGTATCGATAATGGCTCATCTCATATCTACAGTATACTCAAACATACATACAAGGAACGGCGTACCTATCTGTTTCTCTAGGTACACCTGTATGCTGCTGTATCATCTATTTGCGCGCAAGGCCAACCCACATGTAAGCTGCCCAGGAGACGACAGTGGTGGTTTTCCCTGGTCTTCCTTGGATTTCCCTGGTCAACCCTATCTATACCACTGTATCATCTATTTGCGCATAAGGCCCACCCACATGTAAGCTGCCCAGGAGGTGACAGTGGTGGCTGCAACTGAGTAGCTGCAGGGGAGGGGAGCAGAGAAGAAGCAAGTCCGTTTAACAAGAAAAGTAAGCACGGTGCTTTGATGAGAAATCATATGAAAGTACTAGCAAGAAGGATAAGGGATGGATAAGCCATATGAATAAACAGGGAGTATGGTACAAGAGCAAGAACGAGGATGGGGGGAGGATGGGGGGAGGATGGGGGGAGGATGGGGGGAGGATGGGGGGAGGATGGGGGGAGGATGGGGGGATGATGTGGGAGGATGTTGGAGGATGGGGATAAGGTGGAAATTGAATGGAGAGAGGATAGGGGAGGAGAGAGGTGAGAGGTACCAGAGGTAGGGGAGGAGGTTGGGAGCGGTGGAGAGGAGGTAAGGGTCGTGCAGGAGGGCAGCGGGAAGGAGCAGCATCTGCAGACATGTGTTGATCTGCATGGGGGGCGGGATAGGGTGGTACTTTTGAGAATTCTCAAAAGTAAACTCAGGAGGGCAGCGGGAAGGAGCAGCATCTGCAGACATGTGTTGATCTGCATGGGGGGCGGGAAAGGGTGGTACTTTTGAGAATTCTCAAAAGTAAACTCAGGAGGGCAGCAGGGAGAAGCAGCATCTGCAGACATGTGTTGACCTGCATGGGGGGCGGGATAGGGCGCATGGAGTGGCAGGGTTTGACTTGTTTGGCCCGGGCTGACTTCTGAGTCGACCCAAAGGTTGTGCAGGAGGGCAGCAGCGAGAAGCTGCATCTGCAGACATGTGTTAATCTGCATGAGGGGCGGGATAGGGTGCATAGGGTCCAAGGGTTTGACCTGGTTTGACTAAATCTAACATGGTTTCACTGATTTTGGCTTGGTGTGTTCTGGGTTGACTTGTTACTGGAAAACCTGGCTGAAAGCGCACTGAACAAGTGAAACGCTTGTTTTAACTTAACCTTACTAGAAATACGCTGAGCTAAAACAGGAAATGCACTTTGCTGGTGAGAATTTGGTTATGAACAATCAATGCAAGTAGATAGCTTTTGAGTCGACTCAAAAGTCACTTGTGTCAAATCCCACCTTGTAAGCAAAACTGAGCAAAACTCTTAACTAAGAGCACACCTTGCTTATGAGGAGAGGCTCCACCCTCTCTGCTGTGCCCTGGCGGATATTGAAGAAGTGTGCGCGGTGCTGCCACCACTGCAGGGGTTGGGTGCGGTTGAGAGCGATTAGAGCAGGTGGCAGATCAGCACGTGGCACTCTCAACAGAAACACCTCTTGAGCCAGCACCAGCGCTGCTAGCCCCAACACCCTCCTCCCCGCCCTCTCCCTTCCCAACCCACCCACCTTCCACCGCACCGCATTCAACCGCATCACAACATGGCCCCCGAACAGAAACACATCTTCAGCCACGGCGGCAGCAGCCCCGTCTCCCTCCCCCCATCCCATCCCCACCCACGCACCTTCCACTGCACCTCATTCAACCGCATCACAACATGCCCCCCGAACAGAAACACATCTCGAGCCAGCACCAGCACTGCCAGCCACGAGGGCAGCATCCCTTTTCCCAGCAGCGCCAGTGCCACACACGCCACCAGAGCCTTGTCTGCCAATGGATCGAGATAGGATCCTAGCACTGACTCTCCTCCTTTAAATCTCCGTGCCAAGTACCCGTCTAGCTGCAGAAGCAGGGGAGGGTGAGATGGAAGGGGAGGGGGGTTGACACACGGCGCCACCAGCAGCAGCAGCACTGCCAGCGCCACACACGCCACCAGTGCCTTGTCAGCCAACGGATCGAGATACGAGCCTAGCCTAGCACTGACTCTCCTCCCTTGAATTTCCGGGCCAAATAGCCGTCTAGCTGTGGCAGTAGGGGGTGGAGAGATGCACGGGGTAAGACAAGGCAGGAGGCAGAAGGGGAGGAGAATTGACACACACTGCCAGCAGCCCCTTCCCCAGCAGTGCCAGCGCTTCATACACACGCCACCAGTGCCTTGTCTGCTGGCGGGTCAAAGTAGGATCCTAACACTGACTCTCCTCCTTTCAACCGCCGAGCCAAATAGCCGTCTAGCTGCGGCAATGGAGACAAAAAGACATGTGAAGGGGAAGGCAGGGGTTGGAAGGAGGGAAGGCAGGAGGGGATGGGAGAGGAATTCACACGCCCTGCTGCTGACGGATCCTTGTTACTAGCATCACCCTCGTTACTAGCATCACCCTCGTTACTAGCATCACCCTCACCAATGGCAACTTTTTCGTCGTCAGTAGCAAAACTTTGTCTCACCCAGTCAGACGCCCCTGCCAGTAGCAGAGCTGCGACTGCTGCCTCTGTGTGATTGTAGACGATGAGACTATATGGGGAGGGGGAAGGGAAGGGAAGGGTGGAACAAAGGCAGCATGGGGACGTTTGGAGGGAGGAAGGTGAAGGGCTGTTTGAAGCACGTAAGAGGATGGGCCAGGTGAAAGGCAAGGAAGCGAGGAAGGGGAGCAGTGGTGGCAGCAGCATGAGTGCAGTGGTGAGCAGTGCTCTGCTCTCCCACTGCAGCAGTGGTGGGAGCAGTGGTGGCAGCAGTGGTGGCAGCAGTGGTGGCAGCAGTGGTGGCAGCAGTGGTGGCAGCAGTGGTGGCAGCAGTGGTGGCAGCAGTGGTGGCAGCAGTGGTGGCAGCAGTGGTGGCAGCAGTGGTGGCAGCAGTGGTGGCAGCAGTGGTGGCAGCAGTGGTGGCAGCAGTGGTGGCAGCAGTGGTGGCAGCAGTGGTGGCAGCAGTGGTGGCAGCAGTGGTGGCAGCAGTGGTGGCAGCAGTGGTGGCAGCAGTGGTGGCAGCAGTGGTGGCAGCAGTGGTGGCAGCAGTGGTGGCAGCAGTGGTGGCAGCAGTGGTGGCAGCAGTGGTGGCAGCAGTGGTGGCAGCAGTGGTGGCAGCAGTGGTGGCAGCAGTGGTGGCAGCAGTGGTGGCAGCAGTGGTGGCAGCAGTGGTGGCAGCAGTGGTGGCAGCAGTGGTGGCAGCAGTGGTGGCAGCAGTGGTGGCAGCAGTGGTGGCAGCAGTGGTGGCAGCAGTGGTGGCAGCAGTGGTGGCAGCAGTGGTGGCAGCAGTGGTGGCAGCAGTGGTGGCAGCAGTGGTGGCAGCAGTGGTGGCAGCAGTGGTGGCAGCAGTGGTGGCAGCAGTGGTGGCAGCAGTGGTGGCAGCAGTGGTGGCAGCAGTGGTGGCAGCAGTGGTGGCAGCAGTGGTGGCAGCAGTGGTGGCAGCAGTGGTGGCAGCAGTGGTGGCAGCAGTGGTGGCAGCAGTGGTGGCAGCAGTGGTGGCAGCAGTGGTGGCAGCAGTGGTGGCAGCAGTGGTGGCAGCAGTGGTGGCAGCAGTGGTGGCAGCAGTGGTGGCAGCAGTGGTGGCAGCAGTGGTGGCAGCAGTGGTGGCAGCAGTGGTGGCAGCAGTGGTGGCAGCAGTGGTGGCAGCAGTGGTGGCAGCAGTGGTGGCAGCAGTGGTGGCAGCAGTGGTGGCAGCAGTGGTGGCAGCAGTGGTGGCAGCAGTGGTGGCAGCAGTGGTGGCAGCAGTGGTGGCAGCAGTGGTGGCAGCAGTGGTGGTGGCAACATGAGACGGCTAGGGAACGGTGTCTCACGCGGCAATGGGAGGGCCAGAGGCTAGGCGGGCAAGGGACACCAGATTGGCCGGCTGAAGCACCTCCCTCTCCCTCCATCCCCGCTTCCTGCTCTTGCTGCTGCTGCTCTGAATGCTACTGCTCCTCTCAGTGCTGCTGCTTTCAGGGCTGCAAACGCTGTTGCTGTTGCTGCTGCTGCTGCTGCTGCTGCTGCTGCTGCTGCTGCTGCTGCTGCTGCTGCTGCTGCTGCTGCTGCTGCTGCTGCTGCTGCTGCTGCTGCTGCTGCTGCTGCTGCTGCTGACATTCGACTGCTCACGGTCGCCCGTTTTATCAGAGTGCAGATAGCGCCTGCCCACATGCAGCCTGTCACTCTGTCTTGCACCCAATGAGCTGCATTGGCTGACCGCGTCACTCTGCCTTGTACCCGTTGAGCAATATGGGCCGTACGTGTCAATATAAGACTGCTTTGAATCTGTTGAGCTATAATACTGTTTCGACATGTCAGTATAAGAGGGGCAACAGATACGACGTCCGCCCATGTCACACCTATCAACACTGGGGTACGCATGTATCTGCTCCCCATGCGCACTGCTGCATGTATGCATAATGCGTTTGTGTGTAACGCGTGTATGCGCTCTGTGTGCATGCATATGCTGCTGCATTTGGTTTTGAGGCGCCTCAAAACTAGACATAACGCGTGTATGCACTCTGTGTGCATGCATATGCTGCTGCATTTGAGGACTCTGCAACAACAGCCATGCCCCATCTTTTGAGCTTCGACCCGTTTCAAATCCCGATGCCGATGCTCCATCTTTCCTCTTCTCTTGTACCCATGCCACTGCCACCCCAGGCTGTCTTCTTAAACCCTCATTCGCATAAACCCTGAAACCCGAAACCTTCTCATCCTTGGCCAACCTTTCCCTCTCGATTTCTCCACCATGCAAAGCTCTGCACCGTTCCCAATCCACCAGAGCCCACCGTAATCCCTGGTCTCCTATAGATGGACATCCATTGCGTGAATAGACTAGTGCGTCAGTTACAGTGCGGATTCCGTCAGCTACAGCGCCCACTCCGTCAGATACAGCGCGCCGTTCGTCACCTACAGCGGCACCTGAGCCGGCGCGGGCGGCGCAGGCGGAAGCAGTGACTCGGGGGAAGCCCGCGAGCGGAAGAGTTCTAGGGGCGCGCAAGGCAGCGGCGGCGCAAGGGGAATAAGCGGCGGGGAGGAAGGAGGGCGCGGCGAGAACAGAAGCCGTTGGGGAGCCAGATTCATCCGGATAGGCGGAAGCAGTAGAGGGGCTGGGGAAAGCATATGCGGATTCGGGGAGAGCAGCGGCGGCGTCTACGGGCCAGGGAAAGCAGACACCGCGACGACCAGCGACTGCTGTTAGCGCGCGCGGCAATCTCGAGGTGGCGGCCCGCGCTTCTGCTGTGGCGGCAGGTGACGTCAGCAAGGTTCGAGACAGTTCGGGTGCGTGTAGCGAGCGAGATGTGAACGACGTGACAATGACGGAGGCCGAGAAAGGACCCGCGGCGCGATCGGGAACCCCGGGGTGGGAGTGCACCGCGCGGGCCCACAGCCGTTCGATGTGGATGACGGCTCTCGATCGCATGGCGGATCAACCGTGGGGATGCAGCAGCAACTGAAAAAGTGTTGGCGTGGGATTTTCGAGTCAAGTCAGCAAATTGGCGCCCCCATTGTAGCACCAAAGAAGTTCTGGTACAATCTGTATCGCAACGTAACTGAACACTTGCCAATAAAAAAATACTTCTTGGAAGCCAAAAGCACAACTCTTTACCTACTGGTATTTACATCACACTGCAATGATTTCTCACAAAATGAATCGATTCCTCGCGGAACAGATAAACATCACACAACATTTCAAAACGCCTAGACGCTCCACACAAAACCAAACGTCACGAATCTGCAACTATGAATTACGCTCTGATCACACCTGATCACCAAGGTGCGCCATTTATGCCCTGAACACACAAAGTAGAACACATCATTAAAACATAATTACTACCTTACTACCATAAAACATAAACCCTGTTCATGAATATTACGTGCCCACGAATCTATCTGCCCACAAATCTCACCTGTCCGAGGAAGCTGCGCTTGTCATGGCCTGCCCACCCGCCAGTGTGCTGCTCGCCCTCTGCTGCTGGCAGCAGCGCGAAACCCATCCGGGCATGCCTCGACTCCCGCACTTCTCCACCCGCCCCGACCCCAGATATCTCCACCCCACCCGGGCCCATCCCACCTGGCCCCACCCCCGCTCGAGCCTGCCCCATGCCCAGCCCACTCCTGTCCCCTCCACTGGCGCTCCTGTCTACTCCCATGCTGCCTTGTCCCATGGTTGTGTTTTGGGGGAAGTTGGAACCGGATAGTGTTGACTGCCAGAGGTCCAGAGGCGGGGGCTGGGTAGGGAAGCGATGTTGCTGCTGCTGCTGCTGCTGCCGGGGAGAAGGGGCTATGTGGTTCTGAGCATGCATGTGTGCATGATGCAAGTGATGCTGCACCTGCTGCTGCTGTTGCTGCTCTTGCTGGTGCTGCTGCTGTTGCTGCTGCTGCTGCTGCTGCTGCACCTGCTGCTGCTGCTGCTGCTGCTGCTGCTGGAACGACAACATCTGAGCACCATCCCCTTGCCCAATATCCCTGAACCCACCACCTCCCACCATCCTCTGCGTCTGCTGCTCCCTCAGCCCAAAACCAGCCAAACCCGCACCTGCCAACCGTTCTCCACCGCCCCACGCACCACCTGCACCGGACAGAAACCCAAATCCGGCCCGCGTGCTGCCAAGCCCAGGAGGCAGGCCTGTGAAGGGCACATGCGAGCCCTGCCCATTTGCATTTGGCACAGTGGCTATCATACGAGACAGGCCAGACGACAGCCCTGATGGGCCAGACAGACCCGACAGACCAGGCAGACCCGACAGCCCCCCCAGCGGCTGCAAACCCACTCCCTTTCCCCCTGCTCCAACTCCCATTCCGCTTCCTCCTCCCAGTCCGCTTCCTGCTCCTCCCATTCCTCCCAGCTCCAACCCTGTACCGCCCCCCACCCGACCTGATGGAACCGCACCAGACCAACCCGAACCCCCTCCTGTCTGTGCTGCTGAGAAACCCAAGCCTGACCCACCGCCCATGCGTGCAAAGCCAGAGCCAGGGGCAGACGCTGCTGCAGACGGAGGGAGGGGCTCCTGAGGCTGGTTCGCCAAGGAGGGCGGATTGGTGGACGCGTGTGGCCCAGCCCCTGCCTCTAGCCCTAACCCTAACCCTAACCCTAAGCCTAATGTGTTGCCTGGGGTTCCCGAGGCTCCAAACAGCGGACTCCTTGTTGTGGACAGGTACGGGGCGTTGGATGTGGATTGGAATTGGGCTGTGACGGGGTCAGAAGGTGCGGCTCGGAACGGGCCATTGGGTGCAGCAGATAAAAAGGCCCTCAGCGAGTCAGATTCTTGCCGGAAATGGTCAGACGGGGGTGGGTTGGACAGGGAGGAGGTGTGTGGAGGGTGGGAGAGGGGATGGTCAAACGCAGACAGACCAGGGTAGAGCCGTGGCTGTGTGGATATTGCTGGACCGTTCATAAAGCCCCCTTCTCCCATTTGGCCTCTCAATCCGGCTGATGGGTCTCCAGAGGAAAGAGGGTTGGCCGAGGAGGATGAATGAGGCGCGAGGGAGGAGAACGAGAGAGGCGGCCCTCCGGAAAACGGTTGCTGCACAGACCCTGGCCCCATGCCCAGCTGCTGCTGCTGCTGCTGTTGCTGATGCTGCTGTGGATTATACTGCTGGTGGCGGTGCTGCTGCTGTGACTGGGGCTGCATTGGCTGCGGCTCCATATACCTGTTTGACAATGCAAAATTATGCACTGATTGCTGCTGCTGCTGTTGCTGCTGTTGCTGCTGTTGCTGCTGCTGCTGCTGCGGCTCCCAGGGACAGCCCTTTCAGAATATTCGCCAAGTGAGAAGACGCATCAGCATTATCCATAGCAGGCGTGGCACTCCTGCTACCTATGCTGCTGCCACCGCTGCTCCCAACACCGCTACCCATGCCTAGCCCATCCCCCTCTACCGGCCGATACAGCCCGGCTGCTGCTCCCATAAACAGCGAGCTGAGAACGTTCCCGTCCTGTGAAGCAGCTTCGGAACGAGCCACTCCTCCTAGTCCGGCCGAGCCAGAATCGCGCAGAAGCGCATCCCTCCCCACAGCCATGATTGCCGGATCCACAAACTCCAAATCAAGTGAGCTCGACACCTCTGCTTCTGCCGCCCCTGCAGCCGCTGCAGCCATTGCAGCCCCTGCAGCCGCTGCAGCCCCTGCTTCAGACGGCCCGACCAAACCAGGAAACAGTGAAGAAAGCCCATTCTGTACCTCAGCCAAACCATGCTCCTTCTCCTCTGCTCCTCCTGCCAATTCTACCACTCCTCTCTCCTTAATCGGCGGCAAATCAGTCCTGGAAGCAAACCCTGCTCCAACAGCACCACTACCTGCATCAAATCTTGCTCCTCCTGAATCCGAAGCTAGGCTAGAGCTCGCGCCAGCAGGTGCACCTGGGTTCACTGTAACGCCTATTCTCATCAATAGCTCTGCCATGGGCCCCATGTCACTATACCCACCCTCCCGCCCTGCTGCTTCATCCCCCCCAGAAAAATTCGAGTTTTCACTTGCTCGGGTCCTTGACGGATCTGGGGAGGAGGTTGATGCGATGGTTACGAGAGGCGGTGGGAGAGAAGATGGGTTCTGGCTGGTATCGCTGGGTGTCAGGTGCTGTGAGTTTACTGATGGGGATGCTCGTCCTGTTGCTGGTGGCGGAGAGAGGTGGTTTGGGGGAAGAGGCGGGTAGTGAGAGGGGGGGACAAATGCAAAGGCCACACATATGAAGAAACACAGGAGAGCGAGCAAGGACCCAAGTAAAATGCGGCATGTTGCATTGCAACGAGGAGGTGCAGGGACAGCAGGAGCAGCAGAGGTTCAAAGAGCAAAGAGGAGCACACTGCTTGGGAAGTGGAGAAGAGGCCAGTGCAGCACCGAATTTAGAAATTTAACAGCAAAGAAAATACACACACACACAAAAAAAAGAGAGAGAGAAAGGAAAACTCACCTGCTGCAGAACTTTCTAGGGTTGATTCCAGGCCAGGCACTGGCGGTGCTGATGGCGCCCCTGTTGAGGCCGGCAAGGGAGGGGTCTTGGCGGGGAGAGGTCCAAAGCCGGGCGGCGGCTGCATGGCGCCTGTGAGTTGGGCGCGGTTCCGAGGGGGAAGAGGACACGGAGCAGACCAGTAAACACACGGCGCTTTCTGCGGCCAGCAGAGAAAGGTGGATGCAAAACAGGTAGAGAAGGAAAGACGAGCCTGACAGCAGAAAAGAAGGGAGGTGAGGGAGAAAGACAGGCGCACCTGGGAGTGCTGGGGACGTGCGGCCAAAGCCAGGAGGCACAGAGTCAGGCCTCTTGGAAAAGCCAGGCGGGGGCGCCAGTGCTGACACTCCCGTAGAGCCTGCCCTGAAGCTGCCGCTTCTAGAGGTAGTCAGGGTGGGGGGTCGTGAGTCTGGGGTCGCTTCAGATGCAGGGGTTTCGGACGGTTGGGATGGGTTTAGGGGTGCTGCAGCTCTCTCCTGTGGTGCTTTGGATGAGGACAACTGGACTGACCCCACAGTAGCTTCCGGCTTCCACAACTGCTGCTGCTGCTGCACTGGCTGTTGCTGCTGTTTATTGAGGCTGCCAGGCAAATCATGGCCCGCATTCTTCTCACTCCCACTATCACCGACATCCATGCCAGCATTGGCAGCTCTCGCGCTGCTCGCGCCACTGTCCAAACCACCGCTGCTGACCCCCAAGCCAAAGCCAAGAGAGCCAAAAAACGTCCCATGAAGGCCCCCCATCTGAAGCCCACCCCCTTCAAGCCCAACCCCCTGGCCGTTGGCACCACCTGCACTGGCAGCTGCGCCCTCCCCAGATGTACCTGCCCCAGCCTCTTCCTGTGCGAAACGGAACCGGGATCGCCGCGACAGGGAAGAGGGGATGGCGGGTGCTGGTGCGGACGCAGGTGCAGGTGCAGATGCAGGCGCCGGTGCTGATTTCGCTTCCACTCCTTCCCAATTCGTGGCAGCGGCACTAGAAGCCTCTGTTCCTGGAACTGCATACTCCCGCCCCCCTGCTCCAGCCCCTGCCCCTGCCCCGGTTTCACCCGCTGCTCCTACCCCTGCACCTTCTCCTGTTCCTGGTGTTGGCAGTGGGTCCTTAAAACTCCCTCGGAGCAGCTTAGACAGCACACCAGAGGACCCAAACGCGCCTGTGCCCCACGCGTCAGCATCCATGCCAAGAATATCCGCAATTACATTCGACTCGTTCCGCTGCCCTCCGTCCCTACGCCCCTCGCCTCCCGCAGGCTCTGCAGCCTCTACCAAAGCTTTTCTCTGCACAGGCAGTATGCTCCCGTTCATGCCCTTCGGCACACACACAGTCTTAACCGATTGTCCCCCCATGCCACCTGCACTGTCAGCAGCATCAGCCACAGAAGCGTGTTTACTTTGATCAGACTGCCGTTCAGCAGCACTGTCTGCCCCTTCGCTACTCTCTGGAAGCTGGACTGCTGATGCGGACGCCATCACATCCCCAGCGATCAGTACTGAGAGCTCATCCTCCTCTGGAAGGCTCTCCTCCCCTCTCCTTCTCTCCTCACTTGAACTTCTCTCCTCCTCAGTCATTCTATCCTTCTCTGTCCTTCTTTCCTCCTTGATTTTTTTCTCCTCCTTCAGATCCACGTCCTTGCTTGCCTCTCTTGATGTTTCCGGTTCCACGTCTAAATCCATCTTAGACGAATCGCCCCCTGACTCCTGCGTCGCTTCCTGCTTATCTCCTTCCATGTCTGACGGGCTCACATCAACTTCGCGCTCCTGACTTGACGTGGCACTCTTTGCTACCTCCTCTTTAGTATTACTCTCAGCCTTTGCACGCTTTGACAAGGCTCCTTCACCCTTCTCCACCTTCTCCACCCTCTCCGCCCTCCCCTTTGACTTATCCTTATCAGGATCCTTTGCTGCTGCCCCCTTAAGTTTCTTCTTCTCCGCTTCTGACTGCCCTTTGCCTTTAACCTTTTCTGAATTCTTCTCTCCTTCATTAGACCCACCCACTCTCGCCTTCCCCTTGTCCCCTTCCTCTGTACCAGCCCCTTTGCCCTTCCCTTTCTCCGCCTGCCCATTCACTTTCCCCGCGCCCTTATCCGCGTCACCCCGCCCCTTCCCCTTATCCACCCCAGCGCCGTCCTCTCCCCCATCAGACCCCTTCTCTCCTGCGCCAACATCACCGCCTTTCCCTTTCCCCTTCTGCGCATCCAGCCGCATAGGATCAAACGCCAGTACCCTAGCCTGCAATTCGCTCTTCGCACTCGCCTGCGCACCTTCTTTTCCATCCGCGCGCGCCTCACCCGCCTCCCGCGGTCGTTTCTCCTCCTCGTCCTCTACCCCATGCAGCTCCTCCCAGCTGCGCGAGTCATCCGCTTCCACCATCACCCTCACTACGCCGCTCTCGCCCTTCTTCTTCTTCCCTTTCTTCCCGCCCCCGCCCCCACCCTTCCCTGCCGCATTCTCTGCACCCTCTGCCTGCTGCCCGTGAGCCTTGCCTCCTGTTCTCTGCGTTCCCGTGTTCTCCTTCTCTCCTTCCCGACCTTCTCCGCACTCCTCCATCGAAGCCCGCTTCTTCGAGTCATCACTTTTGACAGCCTCACCACTTCTACCAGCTTCGTCCTTCGCACCCTTTCTACTCTTCCCATCCCTACCGCCCTTCTCAACGCTACTGTCCTTCGCGCCCTTCTTACTGCTACTAACAGCACTACCGGCGCTTGCGCTGGCATCACCGCTCTCCACTCCTTCCATGTCCTCAGATCTTGACCCTTTATGCGCATGCGTCCCGTTCAATCCCTTCTTTGAACCGCTGCTGCCCGTAGCCGCTGCGCCTCCTGCAGCAGCCCGGCCTGCTAAAGCTGCCGCGTAGTCGTGCTCACCTGCTGAACCACCTGAAGAACCACCTGATGCGGCACCTGACGACGCGAGCTGCGCTGGAGTGGGCGATTCCCTGCCCAGAGACGAAGCCTTAGCCTGCGCCGTGTGCCCCAGAACCACCAACCGAGACCTCTGCTTCGACGGCGACTGAGCCTTAGACCGCGCAGAACCCCCTGCAACCGAACCAACAGCTGCCGAACCTAACGAACCAGCCGAACCAGGAGCGGCGGCAGCAGCTGCTACCTTCTGTTGCGCTGCCCCTACTGCTGACGGTTTCCCGGGCCCTGACGCAAGCGCAGCTGTGGCTGCTGTTCTAGCGACAGAGGCAGCGGAACTCGAGAGACCAGACGGCTGGAAACCCACAGTGGTGGACGCTGCGGGTCGCACAGTTGACGATTGCGAGAGAATGCTAGGCGGTGACTTGCCATGCACCTGCTTGTCCTGCAGCGATCCGAACCCCGTCCCCGCCCCAGCCGCGGCCTGTGTGGCGTTCACATGCGAGATTACCGGCGGGGAATGCGCGCTGGCTTGGATCACCCGGCCACTAAGCACTGCTGCGGATGGTTTGAACAATTGTGGGCCGTTGGATGAAGACCACGAGGAAGATGCTGTGTGCGTGGATCCAGACGTGGGTTTTGCGGCAGGGACTGATATTGCTGAGGAGACTGTACTGGTGGACGCAGGTTTGGACGCTGATAGAACGACCTTCCCCGCCAGTGACGCCTTGGAGCCCCTGGCAATAAATGAGTCAACGCACAACAGCACGTGGGCGGAGAGGGGACGGAGAACGGCAGAGGGGTGGAGAGCGTGAGAGCAGGGAAACAAGGCAGACGTTCGCTCAACTCGAAAACATCATACCACGAGGCGGCAGCGGGCAGCAGGCCTCCAGTCTTGGGCGCCGTTGACGGCCCCAGCGTGAACACCTTGGCTGTCGTTGCTGGATGGCTCGCTGGCGGTGCAGCTGAACTCTGCACACAAGAACCGAAATAATTGGGCTAAGAAACTACGGGAACAACTTTGGATACAATTAGGTCCAACTTTGATGTAAGACAACACAGCACGAGTGTTAGCAGCCCAATTGACCCCAACTGACCTTTTCCATATGCGTGTCGAGCGAGGGTGGCAGACCATTGGCTGCACGGCGGTTTACAGAATGCGACGGATCGAAGTACGGAGGCGGGTGCTTGCTGCAGCGAGGCATGCAGGACGGCGCGAGAGGGACATGGGAGACAGCACACAAGCCACACGGTATATGGCGCACAGCACACAGCACACAGCAGACGGAACACAGAAGTCGGAGTTGAGGCGGCAGGTAAGGTGAAGAAGGTCCACTAGGACAAACACAAAGCCTTAATAGCCTCTATACGTGCTGTTTCTCATGCCGTCATTCAAGACGCACCTCCGCCCATGCCTCTGCAACAAACGCAAAACTGAGAACGCACCTGACGCCATGCCTCTGCACCATTTCCTCCTTGGTGTAACTGTCTTCTTGCGTGCCAAACTCGTGAAGATACAAACAGTCCGGGTTGTTGCATACCTGCCACACCACACACTCGAAGCAGACTTGAGCCAAACGAGACCAGGACCCACACTGTCGCGTGCAGGATACGCAATAGCATCACCTTCCTAACTCCTATCTGATTGGCTGCACTGCACGTACCAGATTCTTCAGCCACGCGTTGCAATACTTAGTTGTGCCAAAGCAGGCTCTGCACAGGCAAACCAATCCGAAGCAGCATATATGGCAGGTCAACGTCTTTTACGGTTTCTGCAACTGCTTAAGTTAAAAAAACCCACAGCACCTATTACTCCTAGCGCACCTGAGGATTCGATTCTCGAAGAGGCATCCGTCAACGGCCTGGATGCACCGAAGGGCGTCCTCCTCCCTCAGATAAGTAACGTACCTGGCCCAACAAACACATGCACGCACACCACACGTTCACACCATCACACCACAGTGGCGCAAGACACCTGAAAATCTAAATTATACCTAACCACGTTAATGTGTGTGTGTGTGTCTATATTTTCTGTCTTTTTTGTTTCTGTTTCTTTTTTGTTTCCCAAAAAGAAACAACCCTAGCAAAAATCTCAATAACATACACGTTGGCGGAGGGGGGGTGGACGGAGCCGCCGAAGGAGGAATTGGAACGCGAGACGGCCACTTTGACGACCTTGCCGTACTGACCAAAGTAGTCGCGCCGCTCCAGAGTCTGCGAATTAGAGCGTGAGGGGAAAATCGGGTGATAGTAGCAACAGGGTCGGCGGCTAACTATCCGAAGGCAGTTTGACGAGACGAGCGAACACGATGCGAAGGCGAAAATCCAGGGTATCAGGAAGCGCAGAAGCGGCAGCAGGTAAGGTACGACTTGGTACGCTCACGCAGGACGCGGCCATCGGATCGATGCAGGGGGGAGAACGGTCTAAACTTAAATCTACGTTATGACCTCTTCGTCTGCGACGGACAGCGGGATCTAGACGACGTGAACGACAATCTTCTGAACCCAGTGCACGTTTTGAGTCGAGACAACAGCTGAATCGAGCGAGCAGGCTAAACCTGAAGCTACAACTAACATAATCGACTGCGACGGACAACAAAATTCCGATTTTGTAAACAAGGTTCTTTTGGACCACGCTCGAATTTAGGGTTGACTCAACAGCCGAACCGATACAGGCGAGCAGGCTAAAAACCTGAAGCTAAAGCTGACCTCTTCGTCCGCGACGGAGAGCGGGATACCGACGACGTAGACAAGGTTCTTCTGCACCACGCGCACGTTGCTCAGATGCCGCCGGCCTTCCGCCGTCGCGTACGCGCTCTTTGGACGGGACTTCGACTTGGATCGCTTCTCCGACTCGGTAAAACTGCAGGGCCGGACACAAGCAGCAAATAAAAACGTTGTTCCTAAGTTAATTTAGATCCTGACACGAAATCATAGCGGGTGATGACGATGCGACGACACTTAAGTTAAAAATGGACCAAAACTTGAAGCAGGAGAAACCTTGTCGAATGATGACGATTCCACGTTAATAACGACTTCGTGACTTACTCGTCGAGATCGGGACCGTTGGATGCGATCTTGTCTTTGCTGTAGGGAGAACGGCAGGCTGGACAGCGAGGTTCTAGATGGTCCTTATTCGCCATCTCCATGATGTGGTGCCAGCACCACAGGCATATCTGCGAGTCACCACGAGTCACCACGAGTTACCACAGGCAAGCAGCAGATGGGACAGCACAAGTCAAATCATGCGCTAACCATAGTATAAACATCATAAGCAGCTGATTTTTGACTTTAGACCAGAACTTTGACTCAAATTCAAGTCAACAGTTCTTAACAAACGTTCTTAACAGCTCTTAAAGAAGGAATTAAAAGAGTAGCTGGATGCAGGAATCCTATTCATCATCCTTAGAAACGGGATATTACACGGACTTGAAGAGGGCAGAAAAGCACCTGATAGCCGCACTGGCACGGCTGGAACTTCCGGTCTGTGGAATCCATTTCCTCCATGCACAACGGACACGTGTAATCCGTGTCATCTGAGAAATCCATGGTAAAATTACTAGAATAATAACTACTACAAAATTGGGTTCTCTAAGAACCGAACCAACGCAGGCTTGCACTGATTGAATAAAAGAACAGGCTCAGCCGAAGCGGGTGTAAGACAGTGATTAGGTTTTACAAAGCGACCATAACTCAAGACTCTGCACAAGGGTTTCAGCGAGGCAATTGGCAGTCAACAAGCGGGACTACATAATAGATGGACCAGGGGATTCAGGAAAAAGAGGCAGCAGGAGGGAGGTGGTGTTTTTGTCAGGGTCAGACAAAAGCGAGGGAGGAGGCTGGGGGCGGTAGGCTCGGCTCTGGTTTACGTTTGGCTCGGGTTGCCCAAATGTGGCCAAGGTTCGGTTCGGCACAATCTAGAAGTGGGGGATTCTTGGGAACATCTGGTTCTTGTACACGGTTGTGGGTGCGCTGACGAGTTACGTCGTCGCTCGCCACTTTTCGGCGTTCATGCACCATTGTCGAGGCTGTCACGAAATGACGCAGTTGCTGGTAACTCGGTAGAGAGTTCATCCTCGTTCTGCCCATGGTTCCCGCCATCCGACATCCATGGCCCCCATCCTTCCCATGAAACTTCTGCCCGCCATGCCCATCTCTGCATTCCCATCATCTGCCTTCTGTCTGACCAATCAGGCACCAGGAATGAAATTTTGGCACAGATGGGCGGCTGGGTACACAATCTGCTGTACCCAAGGAGGGTGTGCTTTCGCTAGCTAGCGACGGGTAACGGGTTACGCAGTCGTAACTCTTGCTCAATATTCCAATTCGTAAAACGCAATCCACGCATTCCCATCGAAGCCTGAGTGAGCTATTTCCTCATCAGAGCTTCCTCCTCCTCTCCTCGCATCACATGATTCCCATTCCCTATTCTTGCGCTCCCGTTTCCCGCTCATAACGCTTCTCGCAAACATGTCGTCCACTTTCCATTGCGAAACATGTTTCCAACGGTAAGATAGCGTCCGGGTGAAGCGGAACGCCATGCCGTTCAAGTCATCCGCATCGGCAGACGGCCCCGTTTGCTGCCTATGCGGCGGTAACCGGCACGGCGAGCCGCCTCCAGACGTAGTCAGACGAATCACGTATCACGACAGATCTTCCCGCCCAAGAGAGTCATCGAGTGCAGCGGGAGCTCCCCGGATTCCGCCTTCTGGAAAAGCGCGGAGCGGCGGAGACCGCGGACGCGCGGAAGGGCGGAGCGAGCAGGAGGATGGCGGAGGAAGCGGCGGAAAGGGAGCAGCTAAGGGAGGGGTTGGGGACCACGCAGCGGAGGGGGAGTTGCGCGAGATGCGGTGGCCGCCAATGCGGCCGGATCCGCACTTCGCGGACGTGCGCGGGTGGCTGGGTCCGCTGCTGGGGCCAGTGGCGGAGCGGAGCGGCGCTGCTGGCGCGTGGGTGCACCGCGAATGCGCCATCTGGAGCCCCGAGGTGCGCCGCTGCTAGTTCCTGCTGCTGCTGCTGCTGCTGCTGCTGCTGCTGCTGCTGCTGCTACTGATAATGATAAAGATAATGATGACGACAACAATGATGATGTCATGCTGCTGCCGTGCTGCCAAGTCAGCAGCACGTGCTAACCTAACCCAGCCACAGCACCTCAGCAAGCAAGGCATGCAGCGCTCCCAGCCGCCGCTGCTGCTGGAGAGCGCCGTGTACCCACGCAGAGCAGAGCAGGCGTCCCGTCCGTTACTCCCACACCACCAACCTCCCCCCGTCCTCCCCCCCTCATCCCCCGTCCTCCCCCCGTCTTCCTACCTTCCTCCCCCGTCCGCCCCCCGTCCTCCCCCCCTCCTCTCCACTCCTCCCCCCGTCGTACCTCCCTCCTACCCCCGTCCCCCCCCTCCTTCCAACCTAACTCAAACCTGACGTCAAACCTGACGTCAAACCTGACGTCAAACCTGACGTCAAACCTGACGTCAAACCTGACGTCAAACCTGATCTCAAACCTGACGTCAAACCTGACGTCAAACCTGACGTCAAACCTGACCTCAAACCTGACCTCAAACCTGACGTCAAACCTGACCTCAAACCTGACCTCAAACCTGACGTCAAACCTGACCTCAAACCTGACGTCAAACCTGACGTCAAACCTGACGTCAAACCTGACCTCAAACCTGACCTCAAACCTGACGTCAAACCTGACCTCAAACCTGACCTCAAACCTGACCTCAAACCTGACCTCAAACCTGACATCAAACCTGACCTCAAACCTGACCTCAAACCTGACGTCAAACCTGACCTCAAACCTGACGTCAAACCTGACGTCAAACCTGACGTCAAACCTGACCTCAAACCTGACCTCAAACCTGACCTCAAACCTGACCTCAAACCTGACGTCAAACCTGACCTCAAACCTGACCTCAAACCAGACCCCAAACCTGACGTCAAACCTGACGTCAAACCTGACGTCAAACCTGACCTCAAACCTGACCTCAAACCTGACCTCAAACCTGACCTCAAACCTGACCTCAAACCAGACCCCAAACCTGACGTCAAACCTGACGTCAAACCTGACGTCAAACCTGACCTCAAACCTGACCTCAAACCTGACGTCAAACCTGACGTCAAACCTGACGTCAAACCTGACCTCAAACCTGACCTCAAACCTGACCTCAAACCTGACGTCAAACCTGACCTCAAACCTGACGTCAAACCTGACCTCAAACCTGACGTCAAACCTGACGTCAAACCTGACCTCAAACCTGACCTCAAACCTGACGTCAAACCTGACCTCAAACCTGACGTCAAACCTGACGTCAAACCTGACCTCAAACCTGACCTCAAACCTGACGTCAAACCTGACGTCAAACCTGACCTCAAACCTGACGTCAAACCTGACCTCAAACCTGACATCAAACCTGACCTCAAACCTGACCTCAAACCTGACGTCAAACCTGACCTCAAACCTGACGTCAAACCTGACGTCAAACCTGACCTCAAACCTGACCTCAAACCTGACGTCAAACCTGACCTCAAACCTGACGTCAAACCTGACGTCAAACCTGACCTCAAACCTGACCTCAAACCTGACGTCAAACCTGACCTCAAACCTGACCTCAAACCTGACGTCAAACCTGACCTCAAACCTGACGTCAAACCTGACCTCAAACCTGACCTCAAACCTGACGTCAAACCTGACCTCAAACCTGACGTCAAACCTGACCTCAAACCTGACCTCAAACCTGACGTCAAACCTGACCTCAAACCTGACGTCAAACCTGACCTCAAACCTGACGTCAAACCTGACGTCAAACCTGACGTCAAACCTGACGTCAAACCTGACCTCAAACCTGACCTCAAACCTGACCTCAAACCTGACGTCAAACCTGACGTCAAACCTGACGTCAAACCTGACGTCAAACCTGACGTCAAACCTGACGTCAAACCTGACGTCAAACCTGACGTCAAACCTGACCTCAAACCTGACGTCAAACCTGACCTCAAACCTGACGTCAAACCTGACGTCAAACCTGACCTCAAACCTGACGTCAAACCTGACGTCAAACCTGACGTCAAACCTGACGTCAAACCTGACGTCAAACCTGACGTCAAACCTGACCTCAAACCTGACCTCAAACCTGACCTCAAACCTGACGTCAAACCTGACGTCAAACCTGACCTCAAACCTGACCTCAAACCTGACGTCAAACCTGACCTCAAACCTGACCTCAAACCTGACCTCAAACCGGACGTCCAACCTGACGTCAAACCTGACCTCAAACCTGACCTCAAACCTGACGTCAAACCTGACCTCAAACCTGACCTCAAACCTGACGTCAAACCTGACCTCAAACCTGACGTCAAACCTGACGTCAAACCTGACGTCAAACCTGACCTCAAACCTGACCTCAAACCTGACCTCAAACCTGACCTCAAACCTGACCTCTAACCTTACCTCAAACCTTACCTCAAACCTGACGTCAAACCTGACCTCAAACCTGACCTCAAACCTGACCTCAAACCTGACCTCAAACCTGACCTCAAACCTGACCTCAAACCTGACGTCAAACCTGACCTCAAACCTGACCTCAAACCTGACCTCAAACCTGACGTCAAACCTGACGTCAAACCTGACCTCAAACCTGACCTCAAACCTGACCTCAAACCTGACCTCAAACCTGACCTCAAACTTGACGTCAAACCTGACCTCAAACCTGACCTCAAACCTGACCTCAAACCTGACCTCAAACCTGACCTCAAACCTGACGTCAAACCTGACCTCAAACCTGACCTCAAACCTGACGTCAAACCTGACGTCAAACCTGACGTCAAACCTGACGTCAAACCTGACCTCAAACCTGACCTCAAACCTGACCTCAAACCTGACCTCAAACCTGACGTCAAACCTGACCTCAAACCTGACCTCAAACCTGACGTCAAACCTGACGTCAAACCTGACGTCAAACCTGACCTCAAACCTGACGTCAAACCTGACGTCAAACCTGACGTCAAACCTGACCTCAAACCTGACGTCAAACCTGACCTCAAACCTGACGTCAAACCTGACGTCAAACCTGACCTCAAACCTGACGTCAAACCTGACGTCAAACCTGACGTCAAACCTGACGTCAAACCTGACGTCAAACCTGACGTCAAACCTGACCTCAAACCTGACCTCAAACCTGACCTCAAACCTGACGTCAAACCTGACGTCAAACCTGACCTCAAACCTGACCTCAAACCTGACGTCAAACCTGACCTCAAACCTGACCTCAAACCTGACCTCAAACCGGACGTCCAACCTGACGTCAAACCTGACCTCAAACCTGACCTCAAACCTGACGTCAAACCTGACCTCAAACCTGACGTCAAACCTGACGTCAAACCTGACCTCAAACCTGACGTCAAACCTGACGTCAAACCTGACCTCAAACCTGACGTCAAACCTGACCTCAAACCTGACGTCAAACCTGACCTCAAACCTGACCTCAAACCTGACCTCAAACCTGACCTCAAACCTGACCTCTAACCTTACCTCAAACCTTACCTCAAACCTGACGTCAAACCTGACCTCAAACCTGACCTCAAACCTGACCTCAAACCTGACCTCAAACCTGACCTCAAACCTGACCTCAAACCTGACGTCAAACCTGACCTCAAACCTGACCTCAAACCTGACCTCAAACCTGACGTCAAACCTGACGTCAAACCTGACCTCAAACCTGACCTCAAACCTGACCTCAAACCTGACCTCAAACCTGACCTCAAACCTGACCTCAAACTTGACGTCAAACCTGACCTCAAACCTGACCTCAAACCTGACCTCAAACCTGACCTCAAACCTGACCTCAAACCTGACGTCAAACCTGACCTCAAACCTGACCTCAAACCTGACGTCAAACCTGACGTCAAACCTGACGTCAAACCTGACGTCAAACCTGACCTCAAACCTGACCTCAAACCTGACCTCAAACCTGACCTCAAACCTGACGTCAAACCTGACCTCAAACCTGACCTCAAACCTGACGTCAAACCTGACGTCAAACCTGACGTCAAACCTGACCTCAAACCTGACGTCAAACCTGACGTCAAACCTGACGTCAAACCTGACCTCAAACCTGACGTCAAACCTGACCTCAAACCTGACGTCAAACCTGACGTCAAACCTGACCTCAAACCTGACGTCAAACCTGACGTCAAACCTGACGTCAAACCTGACGTCAAACCTGACGTCAAACCTGACCTCAAACCTGACCTCAAACCTGACCTCAAACCTGACCTCAAACCTGACCTCAAACCTGACGTCAAACCTGACGTCAAACCTGACCTCAAACCTGACCTCAAACCTGACGTCAAACCTGACCTCAAACTTGACGTCAAACCTGACCTCAAACCTGACGTACCTTAAACCTGGCCTCAAACCTGACGTCAAACCTGACGTCAAACCTGACCTCAAACCTGACGTCAAACCTGACCTCAAACCTGACCTCAAACCTGACGTCAAACCTGACGTCAAACCATTCACACTGCATGACCCTCCTCCTCTCCCCAGGTGTTCTTCTGTGCGGTGTCTGAAGAACTCGCGCTAATGAAATGCACTATCACACCCTCTCCCCTTCCCCGCAGGTGTTTTTCTGTGCAGTAATTTAGTTGAAGAACCCTCTCTAGAGCAGAATCAAAGCTATTATTACCCCCTCTCCTTCTCTCCAGGTGTTCTTCTGTGCGGCGAATCAGCTGAAGAACGTGCCTGCTGCAGTGCGGAGGGGGAGGCTACTCAAGTGCAGCCGGTGTGGTCGCAGCGGGGCCAACATTGGGTGCCGGGAGGAGCGGTGCCCACACACGTACCACTTGGTGAGATGAAACGGTGCTACTTGTAACGGGTGGCGAGATGAAACGGCAAGTGAGATGTAACGGTGGATTTTGTGCCATCACTGAGATGAAACGGAAAGTACACAACTGTTCTTTCGACCACAACAATTTCATCTTACTCTGCTCCTCCACACCTCCTTCACTTTCCCCACACATTCCCCTCCCCTCCCCTTCTGGCTCATCCTTCCCCACCCGATCCGCCCCCTCCCTTCCCCTTCCTCCCCACCCAAGCCCTGTGCACGCTACGACGACTGCTTTTTCGACCACAACGATTTTCTCATCTCCTGCCCGCTCCACACTCGCTCCCTCATGCTCCGCCGCCACGGCTCCCACCTGCCCGAATTCAACGCCTTTTTTGGGCAGCCCGCGGGCAGGCTGTCCGGGCAGATGGTGGAACTTTTGTCGGCTGCTCGCGCAGCTGCCCGGAAGGACGAGGAGGCAGAGGCACAGTGGGAGGAGGGGATGGGGAGTGAGGAGGATGATGAGGATGAGGAGTTTCAGGCAAAGGAGAGGAGGAGGAGAGTGAGGGACCTGGCTAGGGTTGAGCCAGTTCGGCTTGGGGGTGGGGTGACGTGGCGTGCGGCTGCCAGTGGTGCTGCCACGTCACTGGCCACGTCAGCAGGTGGTGGTCGTTATCCGGTGACTGGGCTTGAGAGGCCGGCTGGGGTTGAACCTGGGGGAGAGGGAAGGGGGGACGGAGGGGGAGGGCGGAGGGGGGACGGAGGGGGAGCAGGGAGAGAAGAACAAGGGGGGAAGAAGGAAGGAAGGGGCGCTAGAGTGCCAATTCAAACTGGCAGTGTCTGGGAAAACGTTGACTGTGACAAAGCAGAGTGTGACAATGTCGAGTGTGAGAATGAAAGGATGCCACCGGGGGAGCAGTCACAGAGAGCAGCGCACAGCATGTTAAATCCACTGGCAAGGCCTGGCAGTGGCGCTGATGGTGGTGGTGCTGACTTGGCGGCGTCTGGTTGGGTGATGGTGCGGTTTGGGGGGGCTGACGCAGGGGGAATGGGGGGAGGGGTGGGGGAAGCGGGGGACGAACTGGCGGCTGTGATTGGCCCTGAGACTCCGCTGGAGGTGCTGTTGGGGGCGCGAGGGGGTGGGGAGGTTGGTCGAGGGGAGGGGTGGATGCGGGAGGGGGGAGTGAGGGAGGGGAAAGTCGTGGAAGGGGGGCTGGATGAAGGGGATGAGGAGCTTGGTAGAGGAAGGAAAGCAGCGGAGGAGGGAAGGAAGAGAGGAAGAGAGGGAAGGGATGAAGGTCGAGAGGGAAGGGATGAAGGTCGAGAGGGAAGAAAGGGAGCACCGCAGCAAATACAGGGCTCGAGTGCCGAAGTGCGCCTGAGGGGTGGGGCTGTGGAGGAGGTAGCAATAGGTGGCGTGAGAAGCATGCGGGTGAATGCAGGGACGTGTGAGGGAGTGAATGAGGGAGTGAATGAGGGAGTGAGGGAGGGAGTGAGGAAGGGAGCGAGGGAGGAGGTGGGTGGGGCACCTGATTGGGGGACTGAGGGTGATGGGGAGGGGGAGATGGCAGCAAAGCGGGCGAGGATTACACCAGGAGCCGAGGATTCAGAGGTGCTGGTTGATGGGGCCAGAAAGACAAGGGGCACTCCAGGCGCAGCAATGGGCTCTGCTTTTGAGACTTGTCAACAGCAGGCACGGGTTACAGCCGAGCCTGACGTGCTGGTTGGAAGGAAAAGGGACTCTTCAGAGGCAGTGGAAGATGGGGGGGATGGTGTTGGTGTGAGAGCAGCAGCAGCAGGAGCAGGAGCAGGAGCAAGAGTGGAAGGAGCAGAAGGAGCAGCAGGAGCAGAAGGGACAGCAGGAGGAACAGCAGCAGGGACAGGGACAGGGGAGCGGGTGAGAGATGCAGCAGAGGGAGAAGAAGCTCGGGCAGTATCATCACCTGACGCAGCCAAGGTATCACACTCAACACCAGCAGAAGCAGCAGGAGCAGGAGCATCAGGAGCAGTAGCAGGAGCAGCAACAGAAGCACCACCACCCGCCCCTCCATCCGCCCCATCCACCCATCCCCCCAGCACCCCCCCTCCGCTCCCCCACGCCTCCCCCTTCCCCCCCTGGTCCGCCATAGGCGGCCTACGCCCAGTCATCCGCTCCCTCACAGAGCTCGTCCTGCTCCCCCTGCGCTACCCCTCCCTCTTCCCATCCCTCGGCATCACACCCCCACGCGGCGTGCTCTTACACGGGCTGCCCGGGACAGGGAAGACCCTGGTGGTGCGGGCATTAGCAGGAGCGTGCGCGAGGGGGGAGCGGGAAGTGGCGTTTTTTGCCCGGCACGGGGCGGATTGCCTTGGGAAGTACGTGGGAGATGCGGAGAAGCATCTACGGCTGCTGTTCGAAGTGGCGAAGCAACGTCAGCCGTCGATTATTTTCTTTGATGAGCTAGATGGGCTTGCGCCGGCTAGGGGGCCGAATCAGGACCCGACACATAGCTCTGTGGTTGCTACGCTTCTGGCGTTACTTGATGGGTTGGATTCGAGGGGTGCAGTTACCGTGATTGCTGCAACCAATCGGATTGATGCGATTGATCCTGCCCTGCGCCGCCCGGGCAGGTTTGTCCGCGAGATTTTCTTTCCGCTGCCCGGATTTGCGGGCCGGAAGGCAATTTTGAGGGCGATAACGGGGGGTTGGGGGATGGGGGTTGCACCTTCTGGGAAGGTTCTGGAGGAGCTGGCGAGGAGGAGCGAGGGGTTTGCAGGGGCAGATCTGCGGGCAGTTTGCAATGATGCCCTTATGGCTGCCCTGAGAAAAAAGTTTCCCATGGACAAGGCTTTGGCTCTTGATGTGCTGCCAGGGGATGAAACTACTAGTTCTGGGCAGCCCCAGCTGCCCGGAGCAGGGGCACCTTCTTATCCACGTGGCACAGGCTCATTGGTGCAAGCGAAGATGTCTCGTCTGCCTATCCCTGAGATCCACGTGGAGGCCTGTGATTGGCTGGAAGCACTGCAGCGGGCGCAAGTGCCCTGTGCCCTCCGAACCGCCGCAGCCAGCTTCGGCAAGTTAGGTTCGGCTGCCGTGCCTGGATACCTGTTACCGATCCTGGCCCCTGCCTTGGTTCAGTTGGTTCGTGCACTGGGGAGAGGAGACGAGAGGGCAGGGGATGAGGAGGAGTGGGTGGTGGGACGGGCCTTGGAGATGCTGGGGTGGGTGGAGGGAGGAGAGGACAGAGGCATGCCGGGCAAGGATGGGGCTATGGGGGATGGGGGAGCGGGAATCGGAGAGGGGGAGGAGGAGTGGGAGGTTAGGAAAGGGAAGGAAGTGGGGGAGAGGGAAGAAGAGGAGGATGGAGAGGAAGGGGAGGAAAGGGAGGAAGAGGAGGAGGGGGAGGAAGAGGGCAGTGATTTGTCGTTTGGGCTGTGGCAGTGGGGGCAGCAAGCAGGGGGAACAAAGCAGGGGCAGGAACAGCTGAGACAGTGGCAGGGACAGGGGCAGGGGCAGCGGGTGGTGATGTGTGGGAGGGGCGAGCAGGGGCAGGCACATGTGGGTGCTATAGCAGCCAAGCTGCTCAGCCCCGGAGGCATACAGGCGTTTGCAGAGGCGTGCAGAGTGGTGCAGCTGGAGCAGAGGGAATTTTCGAGTGAAGAGCGGTGCAGAGGGGTTGGGAGGGGGAGGGCGGAGTGTGGGGGGAAGGGAGGAGGGGAGGGGGCGGTGGTGGTGGTGGATGTGGCGGCTATGGTGCTGCTAGGGCATGGAGACATGGCTGCAGGCATGCGCACACTCATAGGTCAGTCACCCTTCACCCTCCCATGCCCCCATGCCCTCATGCTCAAACCAAAGCCCTTATTCTCGAGAGCCTATGTCCCTTAAGCCTATGTCCCTTAAGCCTATGTCCCTTACGCCTATGTCCCTTAAGCCTATGTCCCTTACGGCTATGTCCCTTAAGCCTATGTCCCTTAAGCCCTTATTCTTCTCATCCATCAACCTCCCCACGCTCCGACCCTGCTTGCTGTGAGGCGCTTCTGATGAGGTTTTTTTTTGCCCTTGATCGGATGGCGTTCCGCTCATAGATCCGTCTTTTGAGAATTCTCAAAAGCGCTTGATCGGATGGCGTTCCGCTCATAGATCCGTTTTCCCTCTGTTTCTGTTTGCAGAGCAAGCAAGGTCCATGGCGCCCTGTGTGCTGCTGCTGCCACGTGTCAACACGTGGGTGGTGGAGGGGTGGAAGGATGGGAGAGGCATGGGAGTGGATGGGGAGGTGGAGGAGGCGGGGGAGGAGGAAGGAGGGAAGATGGAGGAGGAGAAAGTAGGAGAGGGGGAGGAGGAGATGGAGGAGAGTGATGGAGGGTTGAGCGAGGAGAGCCGGGAAGAAAAGGCTACAGGGGAGGAAGAGGACGAAGGAAGGGAGGATGAGGAAGGAGGGGGAGATGAAGAGGGGGATGGGAGAGAAGGGTGTGAATCAGGGGAGTGGGCATCATTTGAACAGCTGATGGCCGTGGTGGAGTCTCAACTGTCGTCCTCTGCTGCTCTGCTGCACTCTTCCACCACGGCCTGCATTCACGTTGTGGTGAGTCATGCCATGCCATGTCATGCCATGCCATGCCATGCCATGCCATGCCATCAGGGAGTGGGCGACGTTCGAGCAGCTGATGGCAGTGGTGGCGTCCTCTCCTGCTCTGCTGCTCTCCTGCTCTCCTGCTCTGCTGCTCTGCTGCTCTCCTGCTCTGCTGCTCTCCTGCTCTGCTGCTCTGCTGCTCTCCTGCTCTGCTGCTCTCCTGCTCTGCTGCTCTGCTGCTCTCCTGCTCTGCTGCTCTGCTGCTCTGCTGCTCTGCTGCTGCATTCTTCTCGAGTCACTGCTGCTTGCATTCATGTGGTGGTGCGTCCAGCCATCCCATGCCATGCCATGCCATCTCATGCGGTGTCAATTTATGCCATGCCATGCTGTGCTACGCCATGCCAAAACCCCAGTTTTTCCTTCCCTGTCCTTTTCTCTGTCTTCCTTCCATCCACTTCACCTCACCCAGGCCACATCAGAGGTACCTTTATCCGCCCTCCCATCGCCTGTGCAACGATTCTTCCTGCCCCCCTCCTCCTCTCCCCTCTCCCCCTCGCCCTCCTCCTCCTCTGTCCCCTCCTCTCCTCCCTTCTTCTGTCCCTCCCCTCCTCCCTCCCCACGTCCCTCCCCACGTCCCTCCCCTCCTCCCTCAACCGAACCATCTCCTCTAACTGGCCTTGGGGCAAAGGCGAGTGGACTGAGCTTGGCGAATGTGAATGTGAATGTGAATGTGAGTGTGAGTGTGAATGTGAATGTGAATGTGAATGTGAGTGTGAGTGTGAATGTGAATGTGAATGTGAATGTGAATGGGAGTGGGAGTGGCAGTGGCCGCACAGTGCTGACTCTGCCCTCTCTCCCCTCCTGCTGCTTGCAACACTCTCTTGTGGCGGGTGGTGGTGGGGGCAGTGGCAGGGGAGGAGGAGGAGGGGCAGCAGTGGAACGGGAGGCAGGAGATGGGGGGAATGTTGAGGGAGAGGGGGATGAAGGCACGGGGCCACATGATATGTGGGGAAAGGGATGCCTTGGGGGTGGCGAGAGGGGAGAGGAGGAGGAGGGGGAAGGTGGAAGAGGAGTAGGTGTTGTAATTCCATATTTTATACAACATGCATAGGCTAGACTTAGATGTGCAGCAGTCTTATAAATTGGGGGGTTGGTTAGTGTACCCTCCAACCACATTTTGTGGTTGGTGGGGATTGGTCCTTACCTTAACCAATCCCAACCAACACACATTTTGTGGTTGCTTGGGCCACAAGCAAACTCACCCATTGGCCAACTTATTGGCCAATAGGGTAAGCTTCCCTCTTATCTCTCTCTTGCTCATTGCTTGTACTAAAGAGCCTTTTGGCTCATTATTCAGTGCAACAATTCTTCTTTCTCACATGGTATTCAGAGCTTATGGCTCACGCCCTACCAAGATCCTTAGGACCGTCCTAACATGTACCTCTCTTCCTACCCGGCCAATAATGGCCTCCCTCCCTGTGTTTCCTTAAGCGCTACCTCCCGCTTCACGTCTTAGGCGCTATCCTCTCTCCTGCGGACCAGATCCGCCCTCCCGCGGACCAGATCCGCCCTCCTGCGGACCAGATCCGCCTTCCCGCAGACCAGATCCGCCCTCCCGCGGACCAGATCCGCCCTCCTGCGGACCAGATCCGCCCTCCCGCGGACCAGATCCGCCCTCCCGCGGACCAGATCCGCCCTCCCGCGGACCAGATCCGCCCTCCCGCGGACCAGATCCGCCCTCCCGCGGACCAGATCCGCCCTCCCGCGGACCAGATCCGCCCTCCCGCGGACCAGATCCGCCCTCCCGCGGACCAGATCCGCCCTCCCGCGGACCAGATCCGCCCTCCCGCGGACCAGATCCGCCCTCCCGCGGACCAGATCCGCCCTCCCGCGGACCAGATCCGCCCTCCTGCGGACCAGATCCGCCCTCCTGCGGACCAGATCCGCCCTCCCGCGGACCGTATTTGCCCTCTCCGCGACCTACCTTTGCGACGGCCGCGATTTCCTCTTCAACGGCCGCAATTTCCTCGTCAACGGCCGCGTTCTGCTCGACGGCCGCGTTCTACTCGTCGACGGCCCAGATCTGCTCGTCGACGGCCCAGATCTGCTCGTCGACGGCTCAGATCTGCTCGCCGACGGCCGCAACCTGCTCGGCGGCCGCGGTTTGCTCGCTGACGGCCGCGATTCACTCGTCGATGTCCCCGATCTGCTCGTCGACGGCGTCGATCTGCTCGTTGACGGCCGCAATCTGCTCGCCGACGGTCGCGATCTGCTCACCGACGGCTGCGACCTGCTCGCCGCACGGGCTCCTTTGTTGCGTGCTTTTGGGCGACTCTGCCTGTCGCGCGCGTCCGCAGCAGGCCTCCTCGTCCAGCGCCTCCGCATCGCACCTCCTCGACCAACGCGTTCGCCGCAAGCCTGTTCGTCGTCGTCGTCCTCCCGCCCTCCAACCACACCGCGCCCCCCCGCCCCCCTCTCCTCCCCCTCTCCTCCCTCCCTCCTCCCCCCCCACTCCCCCGTTCGTCCTCCTCCTGTTCTACCCAGCAGCAGCACCAGCAGCGGCAGCAGCAGCGGGACCAGCAGCGGCAGCAGCAGCGGGACCAGCAGCGGCAGCAGCAGCGGGACCAGCAGCGGCAGCAGCAGCGGGACCAGCAGCGGCAGCAGCAGCGGGACCAGCAGCGGCAGCAGCAGCGGGACCAGCAGCGGCAGCAGCAGCGGGACCAGCAGCGGCAGCAGCAGCGGGACCAGCAGCGGCAGCAGCAGCGGGACCAGCAGCGGCAGCAGCAATGGGACCAGCAGCGGCAGCGAGACCAGCACATTACCTGCCTCCTCCTCTTCCCTCTCCTCGACCTCGTCCCTATGGCATCATCATCCGACTCCTCTGCCGATCTCGCTACAGTTGACGCACTTGAGCTACTTGCTGACAACTCTGCTGCTAATTGGCACTCTTACGCTCACTCAGTCGAGGTGCTTCTCTCCTCTATCGTAGTCAGCGGCTACAACCTTCGATCGATTGTATTCCAGGAAGACACCGGTCTTCAGCCCGTCGCCCCCACCGCTCCTACTGGGCCTGCCCCCGCCACTCCTGGGGCCGAGCCTATCCCCCCGGGTGACCCTCCCACCTTCGCGCCGAATATAAACGACCCACAGAGCTCGGAAACCGCCATTCGCACATACCGCACCGCTCTCCAAGAGCACCTACGCCAGCAACTGCGTTACGAAGAGGACAAGCGCACATATGATGCTGCTGCTGCCCTCCACAACAAGTACCAGGAGGACCTCAACACCTACGCTGCACAACTTGCCGACTACACCACCAAAATCACTGCCTGGCGAGTTGCTGACCGACGCGCGCTTGCCATTCTTCTCGCCACCATTCCCTCCTCCCTCAAACGCGAGCTCTCACCCACCTCCTCCTCCCACCTGTGGCGATCACTCGTCGACCTTTTCGACCGTCAAGACGTCGCCACCCTCTACGCTCTTATCAAAGAATTCGGAACTCTCTCTATGGATTCAACCTCCGGCGCAGCTGCCTTCACTCGCCGCGTCCTAGATCTCGCTCGACGCCTTGCAGCACTTGATGTGGTGTACCCAGATGCTGTCATTTGCTGCCACCTTCTTGAGGGCCTGACACCTGCCTTCGACGCTCACAAGCTTGCGTACATGCAGCTTATCTCCAAGCACCACACCCCTGCTGAAGTCGCTCAGTGGATTATCACCACCGAAGCTGAGATCCTTCGCCACTCTTCCTCCACAGCCGCAGCAGCCCAATCGCGCAGCAGCCGGGGTGGCCGTGGTGGTGTGCGTGGGGGTGGGCGTGGTGGTGGGCGTGGGGGTGGACGAGGGGGATCAGCAGGACGCGGTGGTGCTGGTAGCGGAGGTACAGGTCGTGGTGCCGCAGCTGCCTTTCCTCCCTGTCAGTACCTGCCTCGCTACGGTCCCACTCAGGGACAGCGCTGCGGCCAAACCACCCATGCCACTGAGACGTGCTTCAAGGCACTCAGTGATGAGTGGTTTGCCCGTGGCAACACCGGCACCCCTCCTCGCTGGTCCGCCCTCAACCCTCGCCCCACTCCCCTTGAGGTCCGTTCCTCTCCCCTCTATGAACCTTCCTCCTCCACCCACGCCCACCAGGCCCTCGCCCCTCCCCAGCAGCAGCACCAGCAGCAGCAACAGCAGCAGCAGCTTGGGAATCAGCAGCAGGGGTCACAACAGTATGGGCAGCAGCTTCTCCTATCTCAGCTCCAGCAGCAGCTCCAGCAACTCCAGCAGCAGCTAGACCTCCAGCCGCAACTGCCCCTCCTCCCTCCTCCTCCGGTATCCCAGCAGCAGCCCTTTCCTGCCTGGACTGCTGGGAGTGCTGCCTCTGCAGCCCATCTCTCGGGTGCATCCCCGGCGCCGTCTGCAGGTGGCAGTGCGACCGCTTTCCCTTCCTCTGGTTTTGTTGGTTTATTAGGTCAACCTGAATCTGTTGCATCTCCCATGTACCCTTCTTCTGCTAATGAAACGTCGTTCCAGTACTCTGCCTCACCTTCCTCCACCATTGACTTCGTTCTGGACAGTGGAGCCACTGACACTGTCCTTCGTGACGCTGGTACACTGCGCCCTCTCCCCACACCAACCTCCCTCCTCGGCGCTGATAGCAGTTTTTCCATCCCTTGTCACAACACCTCCACCCTTCCCTGTCCTCTCTTTCCCTCAGGTACTGTCACCGGACTCCACATTCCCTCCCTTCGTACTAACCTCCTCTCCCAAAGGTCCCTCCAACAAGCCATGATCACCACTCTCATCCCAGGTGGTGCTAACCATTGTGACCTATACCAAACCTCCACAGGTCGTTTTCTCGCCCGTATTCCCTATTGTCCCCGCTCCCGTCTGTACACCCTTCGGGTTCCCCGCCCCCTCACCTTCCAAGTTGCCTCCCCCCCCCTCCTTCCCCCTCCCCCTCCCCTCCCTCCCACTAACCCACCCCTCCCACCCCGCCCTCCTGACTCTGACTGTTCCTGTCGCTCCCTCTCCCACCCCACCATCCTCCTCCATCACAGGCTAGGTCACCCCAACTTCGCCACTCTCCGCTCATCTGTCTCCTCCGGTCTCCTCCACGGTCTCCCCTCCTCCCTCCCTCCCCTCCCCAAATCCCCTGCACCCCCCTGCAGCGTCTGCGTTCAGAGTAAGCTCAAGCAGCAGCCGCACCGGAGCTCCCCCTCCGCTGCTGCTCAGCCACTTGATCTTGTTCACATGGACCTATGGGGCCCTAATCCCTCTCCCACTCGCCAGGGCCATCGCTACCTTCTTGTGCTTGTTGATGATCACAGTCGGTACTCGTCCGTCTCTCTTCTTCGGACAAAGGCGGATGCCCCGGCTGCGATCATCGCCTGGCTCGAGCGGGCAAACACCCATTTTGGGCGCCCTGTTCGCCGCCTTCACTCTGATGGAGGTGGTGAGTTCCTTAACAACCAAGTCTCCTCCTATTGTCAGTCTCGTGGCATCCTTCAGACTTACACCCTCCCTCACTCCCCACAGCAGAACGGTGTGGCTGAGAGTCGTGTTCGAGAGATCACCAAAACAGCCCGGTGTCTGCTTGTCCACGCCTCCTGCCCCCCTTCTCTTTGGGGCTACGCCCTCCTTCATGCCGCCCTCCTTACTAACCTCTACCCTCACCCCCTTCTCCCCTCCATCACCCCCACTGAGCTTTGGACGAAGGACAAGCCTGATGCCTCATCACTTCGTGTCTGGGGCTCTAAGGCACATGTCCTTATTCACCCCTCTGACCGCTCCCGATCCATGGGAAAGCTTGCCCCTCGTACCCTTCCTTGCGTCTTCCTTGGTCATAACCCCTCCTCCCCCGACTACCTTTTCCTCCACCCCCCATCCGGTCGTCTAATCCGCAGCAGGGATGTGGTCTTTGACGAGTCCACTCCCTACTACTCCTCCCCTCCATCTACTGACCCACTCCCCCCTCTCACCCGTCCCCTTGTCTGGTCTGACACCACCCCTCCCCCACTACTCCCTCCTCCCCCCATCCTCCCACCCTCCCCCCCTCCGCCGTCCCAGTCCCACGGTACCCCTCCCTCGTCTGGTGACATCTTTGACCCGGACCCTTTGTCTTCTCCTGTCTCCCCCGCTCACTCCTCTCCTAGTGCCCCCCTTCCCCCCCCTTCCTCTCCCTCGCCACTGACCCATCCTTCCCCTCCCCGCACTATACTCACCCGGTATCCCCACACCAGGTCACGTGACAGCATCCTTGGTGCACCACCTCCCGTTACCCTCTCTACCTCTACCCTCCCCCCTCTCTCCCCCCTCCTTCGTCACTTCTTCCAGGCTGTTTTGCATCAAGCCCCTCATGCAACAGCCTCCTCAGCCACCTCCTCTCCAGCAGCGGCACCAGCAGCGGCACCAGCAGCGGCACGAGCAGCGGCCCCAGCAGCGGACCCCGCAGCGGCACCAGCAGCGGCAGCAGCAGCGGGACCAGCAGCGGCAGCAGCAGCGGGACCAGCAGCGGCGGCAGCGGCAGGAGCAGCGGCGGACGCAGCAGCGGCACCAGCAGCGGCGCCAGCAGCAATACCAGCAGCGGCACCAGCAGCGGCACCAGCAGCGGCACCAGCAGCGGCACCAGCAGTCATCCGCGCCTTCCACACCTCCCTCTCTGAGGACTCCCATGAGGAGTTCCTTGACCTCCACCTTTATAACCCCTCGCTTCTACCCATCACGTTCGACCTTTCCGGCACACCTGTCTTCGCCTTCTCCTCTGCTCCCTCCATTTTCGTTCCTACCACGTATGAGGAGGCGATGGCGTGCCCTGACGCTCCACTATGGCTCGCCGCCATCATCAAGGAGCTGGAGGCTTTTATCGGCAACTCCTCTTTTGTTGATGTGCCTCGCCCTCCCGCCCCTACGAACGTGGTGAAAGGCAAGTGGGTGTTTCGCGTCAAGCAGCTACCAGGGGAGCCGCCCGTCTATAAGGCTCGTTACTGCGCCAAGGGGTTCACGCAGCGGTATGGTTTTGACTTCTTCGATACCTTCTCCCCCACTGCCAAGCCTGCTACTGTTCGCGCCGTGCTCGACCTCGCCGCTCGCCTCAATATGGAGATCCACTCGATGGACGTTTCTAACGCCTTCCTGCAAGGCGTCCTCCGCGAGCTTATCTACATGGAGCGTCCAGCCGGCTTTCACCT